CTGGGAGGCTTTCGGTGGCTGGATACGTTTGCATTCTAGTAGGAGCTTGCCTTTCTTCCTTCAATTTTCGGGTTGGGGGGGGAGGGGGGTGGCATACCGCTTTGGTTGAGGGAGATGCGGCGGCGGGCGAGCATGAAGAGGACAGTTATGGCTGTGAGTAGGGCTAAGCCGATGAAGACGGCGCGGGCGCGGGTGATGAGGGTGGCGCCGTGGGTGAAGTTGAGCTTTAGTATGTAGCGGGCGAGGTCGGTGACCAGTTCTGGGGCGTCTTCGAGGGTGAAGGCGACCTTGAAGGTGAATGCTGCGAGGACCAGGCCGGTTGTAGTCGTAAAGCTGAGCCAGATGGGCAGCCCGCTGAGGCCGTAGACCAGGTTCTGGTGGACCCAGAGATAGGTGGCGCCGATGAGGCACCAGAGCAGGGCGGGGTTGGTGTTGAGGTAGGTTTTGACAATGTCGGGCTCACCGGCAAACTTTTGGCCTGTCTGGTTCCAGCCCCTGATGATGCGAGTGGTGAGGAGCAGGGCTGTGGTGAAGAGGGTCTGACGCGCGGCGGAGACGTTGCCTCTGTTACGGATGAGTAGGGGTTCGGATGGGGAGTGACGGGAGACATACCGCTTGTACCCTTTGATGCCGAGATATGCAAACCAGGCCGTTGTCGCCCAGTACCAGAAGTGGTGTTCTTCCTCGACATAGCTGCTTGCAAACATCATCGCCCCATAGGCGAGAACGATACCGGAGAGGGGGGTGAAGGAGACAAGCTTGTCCTTGGCGCACCACGCCGCGGCAATGATGGCGGCAACCAGAGCCACACCGGCGGTAGCTTGTCCTAGGAAAAGCCTCGAGGTATCATAATTGCTGGCCATACTGCTGAGAACCCCCTGCGCATGTCGAAGCCACTGGACACATGTTAGTATCATTGCTGTACCCGCCATCTAAAAGACACACCTTTGTTGTAGAGACTATAAGCTGGGAGTGGTCCCCATTGCCCGTGCCTTTGCTATAGCTACCAGCCAGCCTTTCCCAGCCGAGCGCCAGTTCTCGATAGTCGGTGTTGGGCTCGGTAGCAGCGTCTGCATCTGGGTTTGATTCGAAAATGCCCGGGCCGAACACTGCCAGGACAATGTCCCGAATTTGGCGAGCATTACGCATCAGCAGCTGAACCTGATCCTTCCCTGGGCAAACGTCAGCACAGTTACATAGACATCAGAGATATCCTCTTACTGTTAGACCAGAACGGTAAAAATTCAGGGATGAGCGCGCCCAGGTTGTTTTTGGGCACTGGGAAACCGAGCAAAGCAGCAAGAGTCGGGGCAACATCCGACTGCTCGACGGTGCTATAATACTGGAAGCTCTCATCCTCCGGCATAGGCGACTGAAGGTTGCTTTTCAGAGCTCTCAGCTTCGGGGACATGAACACCAGTGCCGGAGAGGTCTCGCCAGGGGATGATGCGCCGTGGTTGCCGGCGTCGTTCATGCCGTGGTCGCCGCAGACCACGAATAGGGTTGACTGGAGATGGTCTTGCGCCTCGATGGCTGTGTAAATTTGACGGACGATTCCATCCATCTCCCGTTGCTTGACGACCATATGGGGACTGAACAGTTAGCATCCGTCCGCGCCTGTGCTGGGGGTGGTCATACCTCCTTGGTCCACCCTTGTGGCCAATGTGGTCTAGACCGAGGTAATGTAGAACCATGGTATTCCAGTCGTTGTTCTTGAGTTCCCCCGCGATGTGCCGAGTCACGTTGTTGTCCACCTCGGTAAAGTCCTACTCCCGTCAGCTCTTGACCGGCCCTCCATACTCCTGCCGACCCCGAATGCGCCGTGCTTACCGAAACAAAGAAGCTCGTGGTCCCGTCGGCGCGATCAAAGGTTCCCGGAAACAGCTTCAACCATGTGTCGTCCCCGTACATAACCAGCTTCCCCGTGCCCTTGGCCTTCATTTGCGCCAGCCACGTGTCTTGAGACGCCAAGCTGGAGCTCTCGTCCCCTTCGTCGAGGTTGAGAACGACATCGAGAAAGGAGGGGATCGAGCCGGTAGTTATCGCCTTGAGTCGCGGCATCGTGACGGTCGGGGAGGTGGCATGCGCCGTGAAGGGGAGTGCGGCGCCATCGCGAATGAGCCTGGGCCGGTCAGCTTGGGCGGCCCTGGCTGGAGAGAAGGGCAAAGCCTACGATTGCGTAAATTCGAAACCGCTGTTTTCCGCATAGACAAAGTCACTGTTGTAACCCAGTCAATTGTTAGCCTATGTGTGTCTACGACGGCAGCACGTTGAATGTCTACGGTACCTTCGCAGGGCGTCGATCACCATGAATACGAGCCTGTCAAACGGGGCCGCCGGAGGGTCGCCATACTCGGTCACGGTATCGTAGGTTGCCAGACCAGAAAGCAGTGGTTTGTATGGGAAGAAGCCCGTCGCAAATACGAAGATGGCGATAGGAATCAGGATGTTGGCGGCAAGCAAAAACACGGAGCTTAAAGTCCCATCGCGACGACTGTGCGCCGTCATCTCCACGGGAGGGAATCGGCGTAGTTGGTGGGGTATTAGCTAAGAAAAAGGTTCAATTGGTGCCAGAGTCCATGATCAATGCAGGCGCAAGTTCCAGAAATATATCACGCTCCTCGAAAAAGGGATGCCCTCTCTCAAACCTGGTGTTCTTGTCCAAACCCCGAGGCACCCTGAGAGCTTGGCTCCGCGACAGTGGTTGTTGATTGGATGAAAGATGGAGGATTCAAGCCAAGACAGGACCTGAGGCCCCGCAGATAACTGTGGGTCCCACGAAAGACCCATGCGGTGGGCCGGCGGCAGCCGAGCGTGTACCGTGGTACCATATCGATACAGAATTACAAGAGAGACCTCTCAGGGGCAGAGAGGTTACCACCTACCTAGATGTGAATATCAAGATCATCGAGATTGGCCATCCAGCACTGATTCCTTGATGGGGCTGGATACGCAGAGAAGGTTGTCTGACACAGGGTATATTTACTTTCTTGTGTGTCCCCAGAACCAAGCCCGTCGACCTGGCCCCGACACTGGGCCCAACATTGCTGATGGTGGCCTTTCCGCCGCGTAGCCGTTGTTGTGTTGCCTGACTCCTGACTCCTCACCCAACAAATGTAGCGGGCATAAATCTGCACTGACCCATCTTCATAGGGGTTCATATGCGCAAAATGACAAATCGCCGAAACAAGAACCAAACCTCCCTCTTCCCCTCCCTCCTCACGGCAACCTTTGGCCTGGCCAATCCTTCTTGACTGTGATGAAGTCGATATCAACGAATCACAAGGGCTCGGCCCCAGGGAAGAGAAGCCGGGTCCGATGAGATGCTCTCGCACCAAGACAATCCGACTTCAAACATAGGCCCCCTCATTTCTTGTTCCGCTTGGGCCCCCTCGTAGGAAAGACAATCGACGATTTCTTGCCTCGCCGCTTCTCCACCTTTTTCTTACCGCCCGGCTTCTTGCCCACCGGCTTAGCATCTTCCACCTCCATGGCGGCTGTAACAGGTCAATAACGATATCTCAGTGTCATCTGCCACACAAACTTACTGTCCTCCTTGGTAGCGGCGTCTTTGGTCTCCTCCACAGGCTCTGCAAGTCTATATTAGCATCGATTCGGTACGTCATTTACTTCTTTCGAAGGCTAACATACCTTCGTTCATCTCCACGTCTTTCACTGGCTTGGCCTCGGCGGCAAGGGCCAGAAGTTTTGCTGAGAGGCGCTCAGCACGTGCTGACTCGACTGGGCCGAACACATTCTTCTTGAGCCGCCGGTTGTTTGACTTGATGACGCTTGACCTTGAGCTTTTCGCCATGTTTTGCCTTGCGACGTGGGTTTGTTATAAGTTTGAGTAGTAACAAGGAATTATAAACTGGGAGTGAGTGTCTTGGGGAGAATGGGCAGTGGTGGTGGTGGGTGTAAAAATAACACGGATACAAGCATGAGCAGGTGGCCGAAAATTTCGATCCGAAGGGCCAGGCACGAAGCTCAATTCGAAGTCGATCTACTTCGAGTGGACCTTGCCAGAGACGCAGAATCGCTTTTCCTCGCGCAGAAATTGCTGGTAAAATTGGCAAGCCTGCACATGTTACGCCAAGACTCAGTACCCAGTACAAGCCCCACATTTACCTGACAACTCCCAGTGAACAGCGGCAAGATCGCTGGGGCAAGGCAACCGTTGACTCGTTTGGGACAGGGCGTTTTCTGCCACAAAACACCGCCCATTTGTGTTGACGACAGACTCGAGCTATGGGTGAGCACTCGATGTCGGAAGAGGACTGACAAGGCTTTCACTGTCACGCGCTTACGACCAAGCCGACCGTATTCACGCTCTATTCCAGAAATTTTATGCCATCCTCACCTTTAAGGCCATATGCAGCCAGGGAAATCACGGGACTCGAAGCAAAAGAAGCGCTGCAATTGCAGCTCCGAGGGCGGCTTCATCGGGCAGCTACCTACTGCCCTTGAAGTTTTCCACTCGGTCGCTCTTTCCCGATAATCATAACATCGATATACTCAGATTAAGGCCTTCAGCGCGAGGCGATACATTTCTAATTTCTGCTGGAACCAATTCAAGGCCATGGACGACAAATCGGCCGAGGTGCAAAGCCTCGTCCGGACTATCCAGGTCCCTGCCATCTCAAAGGCGATCCTTCAGTCCATCTGCGCCGTGAATGGCATCCCCAAGACTGGGAACAAAAGCGAGCTCCAGAGACGCATCATTAATCGTAAGTGAGATTTCTTTGGTGCTTGGTGCATTCCGCAACACCGCTTATTGGCTTTGCCTGTTTTTCCTTTCTATCGCATCTCAACTGTCTCCCACTGTCTCCCTGCTGTTCCCTTCCACAGCCACATCTCGTCCCAACTCATTTTCAATGGCACAACCCACCGGGTTAGATTGGCCATGGCTCACAATTACCGATCAGAGATCAACTCTTGCAGTGAATCTCGAGACTGGGAGCGACTGCAAGAAATTCGTGAGAGCATAGTACATCGGGCACCCATCTACGTGACCCCATCACTTGTCTCGCGGTCGCAGTCGCAGTCACAACCACAATCGCAATCGCAAGTATCGCAAGTATCGCTCCGGTCACAACCAATACAGCAACCCTCGTACTACCAGGCGCCGCGACCACAAACCCCTCCCAGCTATGCTATGGGTTCATACAACCAGCCAGGCTATGGCTCACTCAACGGGCTAAGATCGCAAAATCCCCCCTCGGTTGCATACCAATCCCAACCCCCGACGACTGGAGCAGCCGGTCGATTGCGGCCGAATGCCGGGCTAGTTGCTCCGGCCATCACCTACAAACCAAGCCCATTCTACGAACTCAAGTACCAGATTGGCGATGTCAAGACTTTGGAAGGTGTGTTCGGGTCACCCCATTTCTCCGCACCGCTAAGGCCGCTGGTGGCTAACTGGAATTCAGTGATGGCAGCGCACCGTAACTCGGAGCGCGTCTCCATCAAAGTCCAAGACCACCCGGCTCTCCAGCTCTGCCTGACAGACCGGACCATGCGTGTCATGGTCTTGTGTACCGCAGGCAATGTGGGCGTCCAGGAAATATCCTTTCCGTATCAGTGCGAATTGAAGGTGAATGGCGGCGACATCAAGGCAAACCTGCGGGGTCTGAAGAACAAACCTGGGTCTACTAGACCGGTTGACATCACCGACTCGCTGCGTCTGAGGCCTGCCAGCTACACCAATAACGTTGAGCTCACCTACGCGCTGACTCAGAAGGTAGGCGCAGCGTCTCATAATAAGGTTTCAGAGGTACGGATTAGGAGGGGTTGCTGAGATGGTTTGCTGACCAATCGCCACAGAAATTCTACCTCGTCTTGATCGTCTGCAAATCCGTCCCCATTGAGGCACTCGTCTCTCAGATCCAGAAGAAGATCCGAAAGGAATCGGTTGTTGCCGAGAGTGAGTCCTCTGGCTTGGACCGATTCAGCCTATACTAACCAGCGGGCTACAGTCACAAAAAAGGCCAGCGACCCTGATGTGGTGGCTATGTCGCAGAATCTGAGCCTCAAGTGCCCGCTATCATACATGAGGCTCAATCTGCCGTGCCGCGGTGTGAGCTGCAACCATATCCAGTGTTTTGACGCAACGTCATATCTGCAGCTACAGGAGCAGGGCCCTCAATGGCTCTGCCCCATCTGTAACAAACCGGCACCGTTCGAGCAGTTGGCCATTGATGAGTGAGTGGACCTGAATCGCGTCCTTGGGATAACCGCTAAACGAAGCAGGTACGCACGGCAGATTCTTGCCCAGACTACCGATGCAGTCGAACAAGTCACAATTGAACCCAACGGGGAGTGGGCCGTTCCCGGTGCCAAGAAGGAGGTGACACCGAACCAAGAAGCGAGCTACCTCGACGACGACGATATTGTTGTCTCGCAAGTCACCAAGACGACAGGGAGGGCCTCGACAGGTCCGAGCCAAGCTGCCGCCTCGACTCCCCATCTTGCAACCCCAACTAGTGTCGGATCTCGGGATACCTCTGCGGCCCCCAGGTCGTCCAAAAAGCGGCCAGCTCCCGAGGTTATTGACCTGACGCTGTCAGACGATGACGAGCCGCCCCGGCCGGTGAAGCGGTCAAATCATGGCAACGGCTATTCTACGGTCCCGTACTAGGAACGGGGGACTCCAAAGAAGTCGAAGCGCTAAAGGAGGCTCGTCCACCGGCACATGGTTGGGGAGAGGTTTTCTCCCTCCTCGTTATGCCATATTTTAGCATTTTCAGTTTGCGGGCGGAATGGCTAGGCATCGGTAGGCGTTGACGGGGTTGTTTATATTGTGTAATTGCAACAGGGCTGGTCGTCGGAGTTCGCGGGATCGGCATCTAGCTAAGAGGGGTGAGGGTTTCGTCCTGGCTATTCTCAAGGGCGGGATTAGATACCATGGGTCTAAGCCCCATTTATGTTTCTCTTTTTTTCTTTCTTTTTTTTACTTGATGCCTTGGACTGTACCAACATGCAATGGCTTTCTATCGACTAAAAGTGTAATGAGAGTGAGTGTGTGGAGCAGTTGTTTGTTTCCCCTGATTTATGCTGGTTAAGAGCATGTTGGGTAACTGCATACCAAGGCTGTCTTGTCTTTACCGAGTGCATCGGAAGCAACGCTAGAGCTCAACCACCATTGCAGCGTCCCAGGTTGAACTCGACTTGCCAGATTTCCGACGCGAATAACACCACACACCATACCGATTATTGAGAATCACGATCGGTTTTACTTAGTTTATTCAACTTGCTATACAATACCCCCTCACTAATGCCCAATTCCCCGTGCCAACACGAGCTTTACCGACCATCCATACCTCGCCCCGCAGCTCCGACGCCGAACCTCCTCGCTAGCAAACACCAGCCTGTTTACTCCCAACTCGGTTGACCACACCTCTTGCACGATCAAGCATCCACGAAGACATCCGCGCCACCACCACACGAAACACCCATCCACCGACCCAACAGAAGCAAGCACGCAACAACACCAACCATCCACACCCGCCCGCAACACCGACAGAGACTCGCAACGACCCAACCATCCCCTCAAACAAACCACCACCACTACCACCCCAACAAAACAAAACACACATTCCCAACACCGCAAAAATGTCCTTCGACCCCGTAATGCCCCCCTACAACGCCTCCGACCCCACCGCCCGCTTCCTCTCCGCCTCATGCCTCGACCTGCTGCTCATCGAGCTCGTGCCCATGGCCTACCGCCTGACGAATGAGCTGGAGCTTGTGGCGCGCCAGCAGGAGAATGAGGTTGCTGCTGCCGCTGCGGCGGCGGCGGCGGCGGCGGCGGAGGTTGATGGGGAGGGAGGGGAGGAGGGAGAGGGTGGTGATGGGGAGGGGGGGGGCTGATGGGGAAAATGGGAAGGGGGTAGAGGGTGGGGAGGGGGGTGCTGCGGGGAGGTTGTCGTCTGGGTTGGGGTCGGGGTCAGGGGCAGTGGCGGGTGGTGGCCCTGGGGGGACGGGGGCCGAGACGGAGACGGTGATGGATGAGGAGGAGGAGAGGGGGGCGGTGTTTTGGCGGTTGGAGCGGATCGGGTATCGCGTGGGGCAGGGGCTTGCCGAGAGGTACGTGTGTTGTGTGTTGTGTGTGTGGTTAGAGGCCGCCTTTTGTTTTTTCCCTTTGCCTCTGCGAGGTCATCGTGGTGTTTGGGACAGGGCAACCGCTACGGCGGGCAATATTGGTGATGTGTTAAGCGCTGACACGGATGGCGGACAGGTTCTCCCGCGACCGGCCACGCTTCAACGACACGCTGGATGTGATCAAGTTTCTCTGCAAAGACATCTGGACACTTGTCTTCCGGAAGCAAGTGGACAATCTGAAGACAAACCACAGGGTATGTCCCCCATATCATCCCCGCCCTCACAATACCACTCACTAACCTCACATGCCTATCCAGGGAGTTTACGTTCTCACAGACAACGCCTTCCGACCGTTTGCGCGGATGAGCGCCGAGACCAGCAGCCAAACAGTCCTACGCGCACAGCCGGTAACTCTCCCTCGCTCTCACCCAGCCTAGCCCATCTCACAAGACCAAGAGAGAGTAAAAAGCTAACAAAACCTCCAAAGTTCCTCTGGTTCCCCTGTGGCATCGTCCGCGGCGCACTAGCAGGGCTCGGCATCACCGCGACGGTGCACGCCGAGACGACTCAAATGCCGACCGCGATCTTCCAGATCAAGACCGTGCCGGCCAAGTCGTAATCGGTTCTCCCAGCTATGCATGCATTCTTAATCCACGGGGCGAATGGCCAATTTCACTGTTTTAGTAACGGTGGATGAGCAGAGCAGCGCATGATGATGATATCAAACGGCCAACCAGGTGGTTGGTTCCTGGCCCAGGCTGAGTGCAGCGTGGGGGGAACATATATGTATTACGTTTAACCGGTCTGGGCATTGGGTTGCGGCTCCGGTTACGGCCCGTGTTGCGGCCAATGCAACCGCAACACAGCGGGCGAGGAAACATCAGCGGCGTATGGCGTTACAAACGGTCGGCAGGCACGCAGGCAGTCGATAGATGGAGGGGGCAGTGGCATGTTAGAACCGGTCGTGTTTAGATTTTTGGTTTGCAGGTATACCCGGCGTCCGGTAGTACATAGAACAACATGCTCGCTAAAAAGCGCCCTCTTCTCCCCCGTCCGGTTGTTGTATGACCGCTGGTGATTATCAGTTGCCTGTCCCCCTCTCTTGTCCTCGCCGACGAGTTGTTAATGGGCTAATCGCATCCCACGCGTTCAGCGTCAGCGCTTACAACCTAAGAAGTGATAACACCAATCAGCCACCTAATCTGGTATGGGAGGAGCAAAAGCATTTTCTATTTTTGCTCTACCGGCCACGACGGCTCGGACTACCTGCAAGCCACCAGCGGCTGCCTCGCAAAATGCCACTGCCTCAAAAAATAACAAAGGGGGATAATTTTGCCATCACGAACTAGGGGGTGGGTATTCACTTCTGGGGAGGGGTGTGGACGAAGTCGACGCCCTTCTTGATGTTGCCCTTCAAGCCCTCGAGCGCCGCGTTAAGCAGCTTCTGCTCCTTCTCAGTGATATCACCAAGGATGTCGAGGGCCTTCTCGGCGCCGTTGGGCTGCACGTCTTGTTAGCACGTCCGAGGGCTGGACTTAATTCAGGCGGGCGCCACTTACTCCAAGCTCGACAGGGACGGAGAAGAAGTCAACACCAGTCTTCTCGGCGATCTCCTTGCCGCCCGGGATACCGGGGAGGTAGACGTAGCTGGGCTCAACGAGGCCCTTGACGCCCGCAACGGCCTTGAGAAGCTTCTCGGCGAACCTTGGGGCCAATTAGCACCACGAGCAAGAAATAACATAGCTCCCAACTTACCTGTAGCCGGCATACGCCATCGAGAGGGTGGCAGAGCCGAGACCATCCTTGGCCTTGACGACTTCGTCACCACCGAACTGAACGCGGTTGACGAGAGCGTCGTACTTCTCATCGGGGATCGTGACCGAGGGAGTAACCTTGCTGAACAGAGGGACGATGGTCTCGCCGGAGTGGCCGCCAATGACGGGAACGTTCAGCTCCTGGGGGTTGCTCTTGCCGGCGAGCTCGGCGACGAAGGTCTCGGCACGGACAATATCGAGGGTGGTGACGCCGAACAGGCGCTGGGCGTTGAACACCTTCTTGGACTTGAGAACCTCGGCCGAGATAGGGACGGTCGAGTTGACAGGGTTGGAAATGACGAGGATGAAGGCATTGGGGGCGACTTCGGCGGCCACCTCGATCAGGCCCTTGACGATGCTGGCGTTGATGTTGAACAGGTCATCACGGCTCATGCCGGGCTTGCCTAGACACAATTGTTAATATAAATCCCAAGCAAGCCTAATTGATTATCGTATACGCACGGGGAATACCCGCGGGGATGACAATGATGTCGGCATCCTTGAAGGCAGCCTTGGCGCCGTCGTTGGGGGGAAGGTAGCCAGTGGTTTTCTGTTGTACAACGTGAGTGGTTCAAGTCTGTGAACCCAAAGTCGTATTCGTGGGCTATCACTTACGGCATTGGAAGAGATGTGGGACAGGTCGGCAGCGACGCCGGGAGTGTTGACAACATCGTAGAGGGCGAGCTCGCTAACGAGAGGCGAGAGCTTCAGGAGCAGCGACAACGGCTGCGGGGTATCGCGTCAGTGGTGGACTTCTCATGTTGGCTCGGGGAGGAAACAAACCTGTCCAATTCCGCCCGAGGCACCAGCGACAACTGTCAAAAATGTTAGAAAACCCTCTCCTTAAATCGCGCAGAGGTGCTGTGTTTGGTTCTTACCAGCCTTGACCATCTTGACTTTTGGACGAAAGATCGAAGGGGAAGCGGGGTTATGGAGGGGTAGCTATTGAAGTCGCGAAATCGGAGGTCAGCTTGGGTTCGACCAAACGCGCAATTGGACTCGGGAAGTAGGTAGGGAATTACTGGAATGAATTGGAGTTTACCTAGAGAGACGGACGGTGTTGAAAAGTAGGTAGTGGGAAAGTTGGGGAGGACACGATGTCGCGATCGCGAGCTCGGAAGGTACTTGGCAGCTTAAGTATGTACTATCCGAAAAGTTGGCGGGGTCAAACTACGGAGCGTCAAGTCTGACTTGGTCCAAAACCCAAATCGCATTTGATAATTCATCCATCCACACCACCGTCAATATGAAAAGACACACCAAGTAGGTCTGCCATACTTCCTTTACGACTAATCCACTCTACATGGAATGGATGTCATAACCTTTGCCTCTTGCTGGATATCATTGACCAAACCAGATATAACGAGTTATTCAAACCAGGCGCGACTTGAGCCAACTAGGTGTTGGTAATTTGCATTGTATGGCTTTACTCGCATGCACAGGCACCCAATACCTGGGTTCCGTAATCGGGATTGATTCGGTTAATCCTATGGGGGTCAACCTAGTGATGCAATTTGGGTTTTGGGATCAAGTCGGGTTTGACGCTCCGTACAGACATCCCTGATGGCAACAACCAGGATGGCGCTAACAGATCCCCCCCCGGACTCCGCATCCCCCGCGACTAGTCGCGCCGCGCAGGCATCCCTTCTTTTCCGACTCCCGCCGCCTCTCCGGCGCCGCATCTACCTTTACCTCGGCCTGGAATCGTGGGTGGTCGACTATCCGTTCGGGTTCGATCTGCATACGGGGAGGGCGACATATGAAACCCCGGCAGCCGCCAGCTTCTACGGCTGACTACTTTCCTGTTGGGACTTATATACCGAGGCGGCGACTTTATTGTATTCAGCCAACCGCTTCTTCATCCACTACACACACCCAGGGTCCCTCGGACCGCTACGCTCTCTGACTCCGGCGTCACTCGCATCGCTCACCCATCTCAAAATCGTCCTTAACCAAGCCTCCCGTCACCACCCGGACGAGTTCTCTTTCTATGTCGGGTTTTGCTGTTTGCATGGTCGTCCAGACAAATACCATTATGGTGGCGTACGCGTGTACAACAATGAGCACCACGGGCTACATCGCCCTCCACTCCTAAGTAGCGATGACGACGGGTTGGCGAGGCTGAGAGTCCAAGGCATGCTAAACGAGTGGCACTCGACCGCGGCTTACCTCTCAACTCATACCACTTTACGCCTCGAGCTCTCCCCTCGTCTGCGACCTGGACCCCCAGAACGGCCATGCGCTCGATGTAGCCGGTTCCGTCACCGCCCCGCTCTGCGATCTCTTCCGGCCGCTCAGGAACCGTCACGTCCGCCTCGCCAAAAGGCCGGATTCTCGGCTCCAGGAGGCGGCTCGGGATGCCGTCATGCAGGCACGCGGCATAGCCGCTCCGTACTTGAAGCCGTCGTCAACACCAGCAGCAACGTCGTTGATGGACCTACCGCGCGAGCTCCGCCTCCAAAACCTTGAATACACCGACCTCATCGTCCCGTGGAGGGAGGTCACATGGAGCCGACAAGACCTCGGATATGTGGCATTTGCCACTGAAAACAGTCCTCGCTGGGGCGATGTTACTTGTACGCCCTCCCTCTTCAATTGCTGGCGTATCAAGGGCGATGGGCAGTCCATTGGTTGTTTTTGCCGCCGCTATCATTCCGCGTCATCCTCCGCGTGCCGATGCTGGCTCCCGCCGACTCCCCTATTCCTTGTATGCCGCACCCTATACCAGGAAGCGCTGTTCGTCTTCTTCTCGAGCAATGAGTTTTTCGTCCACGATCTCCGGTCAGACCCGGCTTGGTAGGTACCGGGCTTGCCAGAAGCGAATGAACCACTGCCCGTACTCAATCCCAGGTACGACTACCCCAACGAGCGCCTCGCCGCCTCCCTATTTCTCCGAGAAGTCACGCCTGCCTGCGCCCTTGTCCACCTCCGTTTTCTCGAACTCGTGTTTCCTGCTTACTTTGCCCCAAGCTGGCCGAGAGCCGGCCAGCCCGCGATGCAAGATTGGTTCGCAACCATCGACTGGCTTCAAGACAAGATCAACGCGCCGTAGCTCACCGTGCGTCTGAGCGGAGCTACGATGGGCCAGGGCACCTCACGCGCGTACGCCGCCACGATAACGGTGGCCGAGGGTGATACAATCTTCCAGGCTTACATGGACATTGTGCGTCCTTTCAAAAAGCTGGCGGAGGGACCCAATGGTCTCGCCAGGGTTTATGTCGACTTTGATTACCCGTGGCAGTACACCGAGGCCTCAAAACGCCGTGAAGAGCTTCCAGGTGGTTGTGGTTGGCTAGAGCGCAGAAAAAGAGAAGTAAACAAGGGCCTCGAACGCTATATCATGGGTGATCGTTATGATAGTCTCTGCCAGAATGACCAGGGGGAGTTGGAGCCTGCTCTTTGGGTGCGCCGGTTTTATGGCTTTTAATTCGTAGGTCGTAGCTGAGACAACCTCGCCTGGTTGTTATTAGGTACCTCTTCTTCAACCTAAGCACTGGGCACGCCGTGGACAAGTCTTAACCTCGTATGTTCCGGCTCAATTCGTTTCTACCCCGAGTTCGGCGCCGGACATCCATTGTATGGGATGGGGGGGCCAACTGCGTGCACCTCCATAATCTGTTTCCAGTCCGCTATCTTCTTCATTACGGTTTCGATGATTCTTGTTGCGATGTGCTGGTCACCCACGCTCTAGTCAAGACGGTTATCCGATTTGCTTCCGAGGCCCGGCTCTCGGCCCGGAGTATCGGGCGGGCCCGGGACACCGCGAATACCTCGCCCCGAAGTTGGAGGCCGAAGACCCTTGTGAATGTGGAGAAGCAGATCGCACGATTTCCCGTTATCTCTTTCCGATCATCTACATGTCGTCACGCGAGTGGGCTTCTGGACTCGGGCAGCAGGCTGGGGCAGGCAGGTGGTTGTGCTCTCTATCACATGTATTGTGCCGCAACGCCATCCGGGCTGCAAAGACCCCGCTTGAGTGATCGATTCTTTGGATATCAAACGCCGTGGCCGTTCCTGAATGCAAGTCTTTTTGGCAATCCGTCCTGTCCCCATTGCCCCGCATTCCATCGTCGGTAATGCACTCCTCGGCGCGAGGTTTGCGGTCTCAATACAGAGCTACGCTTCCGGCCCTTTCCTGCCCGTCCATCATCCTCTACTGCTTAGCAGCGGCAGCCTTCTTGGCGGCGTTGCCCCTCAGCTTCTGCTCCGGCTCGGGCTTGACGGCCCGCTGGGACCGGCGGATGGCGCTGGCGCGCGAGACGGCGGCGGCGCGGAGGTCGGCACGGTATCCGTTCTTGGCGGCCTGGTTGGCAACGGCGCGGTAGGTCCTGTGAGGTAACGATATTAGCATCTCCGATCATGTTCGTTCTGAGACTTGCTTCTACTAACTTGCGGGACGTCTTGTTGCCGCCGTAGGTGACGGTGTGCACGCCCGAGGCGGGCTTGTTGGCCGAGGCGGCCTTCTTGCTGATCACCTGAACGCCGCCCTTCTCGTTGGCGGAGATGCCGAGAGCCTAATCCTCCGCATTAGATCACTATTCCTCCCCAGATCCCATCGGAAGCTGTGCTCGAATTATTCGTACCTTGTCATTGGCGAAACCGGCGAACTGTTGTCTGCGTTAGCTTGAGTATTCCCTCCCGGTATTTCCATCAAATCGTACCTTGCGCGAGTGCAGGTTCGTGAGGTTGAGGGGATCCCGCGAGAACTGACCCGTCCTCGTCTTGACGAGGTACGAGTTGGAGGAGCCTGTAAAAGACGTTGGTGAGAAACTGGGCGAACCCTTCCAAATTTGCAACTAGAACAACTTACGGGAAATCTCCCAGATAAGGTCGGCGGAGACGTTGGACATTTTGGCGATATGGACGTTGAACAGGCGATGCAGTCAAAATCAAGGCGTCGGCAAGTTTTCGTGATATCGAATTTCAGACCCAAATGCTGGATTTTTGGTGCTGCGAGTGTGGGCTCGCTTAATTTGCTAGTTGGGGTTAGACTGGGAATGCGGCCGGGTGTTCGTACTGTGCATGTCTCCATGCCATCAAACAGTCTTATTCCTCGCTGTAGGTCGCTTTTACATCAACTTGACTTTCGGAAACAATAACAACTATTTGCATTTACTTTTTCCTTCACTTTGTTTTCTTTTCACTTCTTTTCTTTTAATTTTCCTTGTTTCGGGGGCTTTGGTTTCTCTTCACTTTTCTTTTCCCTTCTTTCTTCTAGTTAGCTTTTTGTTCCTTCTCTTCTTTTAGTCCCCCGTCTCCTATCGTTTTCTTTTCTTTCTTCTCAACTACTTTTCTCTCTTCTTCCATTCGTACTGATAGCTGAGGAAACTTATTCGCAACATCAACCATCAAGCCGTTATTTTCTTTTTCTTTTTTCAATACTGAGGTACATATATTGAACGCTTATGTGGTGTGGTGTTAATGTCGACCTTTTGAAAAGTGGGGTTTAGTTAACTCCGTGGCCTCGTTCTCAACAGCAACAAGCAAACAGCGTCAGGAAGATGGTTCCTCCCTCTCACCATCCGCGTTGATCATCCCTCAAAGGGATCATATCCTTTTCCGACGAACCGGCCCTAGAACCCGCCGGACGCGCCCGGTTAAACAACAAATTCCAGCGTATCGTCAACCATTTTGAAGGTGCTGCTGCCGGTGGGAGCCAATATAACGGCCCCCGACTCGTGCGTCTCACTTATGAATATGTACGCTCCGAGGCCTCGAAGGACATCTTTCTACGGACATTTTTCCGGTCGATGGGCCTTTCATTGATTGACGAACAACGCGATGATGATATCGATTTTGAGAATTGTGAAGAGGAATTGAGCTCGGGATTGTCTCGCTTTGCAGATTACCTTTTCGAGAATTTCTTTCTACCCTGTAAGTCTTGCTCGCTCTATATTTTAAAATTACCTTCTTTCTCAACATTACCTTCTGCAATATTATCTTCCCCCGCGATATTGCCTTCTCCCGCGACGTTGTCTTCTCCCTCTCCCACGCCATTGTCTTCTCCTCCGATATTGTCTTCTCCTACAACATTATTGTCCCATATTAACACTATTTTGGTGCGTGCTTCTGCCCTCAAAACGCCGCAGTTTCCCCCGGTAGATCACTCCGAACGAGCGCAAGGGGATGGACAAGACTTCATCGGCACGCCAGAACGAATGGCAGGCCTTCGAGAGGACTGCCTTGTCCGTGACCGCCACCGCTGTGTGGCCAGTCGTCGATTCGACATCATGGAAGCCGCTGACCGTTTTGGCAAGCCTAGCGCCGATGCTGGGAACGACGATGGCAATCGCCTTGCAGCAGAAGATAAGAGGTTTACTAAATTGGAGGTCGCACATATCCTTCCTCGTTCTCTTACGGACATGGGAAGCGCGTCTCAACTGGTTTGTTCCTTTCTATCCCCTCATTATGAAAGCCTGGCTAACCCCGTCAGCCTCCCTCCAAAAAAGCCGCACTTGATATTCTTAATATGTTTGACCGTGGAGTTACCGACTTCCTCCAAGGCACCGACATTGATAGACCACGACACGCCATCACATTGAACCCGGAGTTACACTTGATGTTTTGCAGATTTCAGGTTTTCTTCGAGGCACTGCCTGGCCGAGAGCATACCTACCGAATCCAGACTTTCCTCAAGCCCTTCCATCTGCCGGGTCTGCCCGTCGAACGCACATTCTATCTAACCGAGGACGGATCCGTAGAGCCACCCTTACCGCGATTGTTGGCGCTCCATTCTGCCATTGCCCATATTCTTCACCTTTCTGCAGCGGGCCGTTACATTGACGATATCCTTGAGGATTTAGATTGGAAGGACATACGGGACGATGGGTTAACGAAGCTCTGCCACCTTGTAGCCCTTCGGTTGGATGGGTGGATAGATGCGGTTTCTACCTAGGTAGGCAGCAGACAGAGCCCTGGCTTTCAGCAAGCTTACCATGACGGGTTGCGCTTAACAATTACACCATGTACCACTTATCCATCAACTACTTGAGGTAGTAGAAGAGCTTTTATAGAAAGGAAAATAAAATGAAAACTAATAGAAGAAAACGAAATGGGGAAAAGGGTGAAGAATAGAACAGAGTAAAAAGAAAAAAGATTCAAAAGGAAAAGAAGAGAAGAAAAGAAGAGAAGAAAAGAAGAGAAGAAAAGAAGAGAAGAAAAGAAGAGAAGAAAAGAAGAGAAGAAAAGAAGAGAAGTAAAGAAGAGAAGTAAAGAAGAGAAGAAAAGAAGAGAAGAAAAGAAGAGAAGAAAAGAAGGGAAGAAAAGAGGGGAACTAAACGAGGGGATATTACAATGAGAAAATAAAGTTCATGTTCATAGTTTATAACAGGATAGAATGTACACGCAACGTTGATGTTTTTGTTCTGTTCTTGCTATTACTATTCTTATAGCGAGTAGTCAAGTGACATCAACCGATATAGTATGCTCTTAAGAAGATATGTAAAAACGAGCACGCATGTGGCCCGTGCGGGGATTTGCCCATCGTCATTCCATGCCATGCCAAGCTGACGGCGGCCTCTTCGGCGACAAACCCGACACATCTCAAGACCCTTTGAATGTTTCGCGATTAGCACCCAGGGCTCGCCAACTCGAGCCTAGCGACATGTTCTCCCCACCTGCGTAACAAGCTTTATCTTCCTTTCGCCTACGCTCTTTTTTTCTTGATTTTTTTTCCCCCACCTCCGGCGCATTTGCGTGAACATCCCGCCGCCCGCCGCTTCCGAAACACCGTCAAGTCTGCGCCACAAAGCAATATCCCGCCGCGCGGCACTCCCAATCCCTGAAAGACGTCCCCTCATTCAAAGAAAACATCAACACCCAGACCCTCCAAACGAAGGACCAAGCGCCCCCGCGCAACCACCCCACCACAACACACCCACATACACACATCAAAATGGGCTACCTCCTCTACAGCGTGACCTTCTTGGTCCTGGTCACCGGCACGACCCTCTACCTCACACGGGCGCGCTGGCTGCCCGGGTTCCAGACGCGGGTGCACAGCCTGCACATCCCGGGAAGCGACTACCTGTACTCGCGGCTGGCGCCGGGGGGCTCGTTCGAGGACGACATGGAGGCGGGCCTGTCGTCGGCCAACTTCGATCTCGCAGCCAACGTGGAGGGCGGGGACGGCCGCGCGGGTTTGGATGATACTGCTAAGAGGGAGGTGCTGCGCATTATGAAGAAGAGGAGGCTGAAGTTTGATGAGGCCAGACGGGTGTATATGGAGCAGCGGTTTAAGGAGAATGGGATTGGCGCGGACGGGAGGCCGAGGGATCCGAAGTTTGTGAGCTTTTCTTGAGGGGGGGATGGGGTGGTTTGGGAGGAGGGAGGGTTGGTATTGGGGGGCTGGCTGGCTTTCCCGTCTTCTTTTCCTTTTCCTTTTGGGCGGAGGAGGATTGTTTTTGTGTGGTGAGATACCACCTGGTCTATCGTTACTATTTTCTTTGCGTATCCTAGCATTTCCTTGTGTACATGTACATTTTCTCGAAGCGGGATTGCGAGGCGTCGAGGGGGCCATGGGATGTTTGGGGCTACGCTGTCTCCAGCGGGATGATAACAAATCCTCTGAATGCAGGATGAGACGGAGTATCTCCGCGCAGCCATGCCAGTAGCGGACAGGGGCTCTGTTTATCAGCGCGAGTGGAATCTGGTGTCACATTTTGAGCCACAGCACATTACCCGCTGTTTTCGAGCCTTTACAGGCGGCGGGCTGCGATGGACATGTTTGGGTACTTGCCAGAATAAAGGCACTAATCACGATTCATTATTTACTAGTTACCCATATTGGACTCGGCATTGTCTTGCCTTGATTTCACCTCGTGCTCATCACTCCATTTCCTCACTGCCTCGAAACTCTGACACGTGCGGGTCCCTTCGTACTCGAGCACCCTGCCAGGTGTCCCTTGGCTCATATGCTCGGCGGTGCTGCTGACGGCGAAGATGCCCGCATCACTGTGGCACATCAGAGTCTCCCGGAGTAGCTCAACACAGTAGTCTAAGCGCGGTCAGCAACTGCCTGTTCCCGCGGAAATGCTATTCACTCACCAATATCTGCGGTTGCCTCGATGCTGCCCACTCCACGAGCTTCCTGCCTCAGCAGGTTCAAGCAACGCAGCTGGTAAAACACTTCAACGCCTGCTTCGTAGCCCTGCTCGCCCGTCTCGGGGTGCTTGCTCGTTGCCATGCTGGGTGATACGCCCAGTTTCAAGGCCGTTGCTTTGGTGAGAAACACATCGCCTGCTACATTTCGTCAGCAAGTGTCAGATGTTATGGACTGGGTGGGGGTTTTACCTTGTGTAAGAGATCGCCAGGCCTCTTCCGCCTCGTCACTCCGACCCGCATATGGCGAGTCCCTCCATGCTGGTCTCAATCCGGCTTGTTTGGTTTCGTACTCGATTACCGGTAATACCGGTGCTGCATTAAGTAGGGGTCTATGAGCGGTATGGTTTCCAGACCTTAGGCAAAATGAAATAGCAAAGAATGCCATTGAAACTGAGAGGAGCACGGCATGGGCAAGCCACGCCCAGTGCTTGTGGGACTTGCTCCGATTATTTGAAGTCGTTTCACAGTCTGTATCGGGATCACGCCGCATTCGGCGGCTGTTAGGACTGGGCTCCTCGTCAAGAGGGACGCGATGGTATTGGATGTTGGACATATTGAACAATATCGGTATCGCACAATACACAAGGTAGAAAAGAAGGGAGGAGTGCTTGGTCTGAACAAGCCTAACTATGCCATCTATCTGCTGTGTATTTGGTTGAGAACGAAATAACAAGTGAAACGGGGTTGTCTGTGTGCTCAGGGACTAGAGTTCCATCATGACCTCCTCGGCCGCTAGGCTGTTTGAAGCCTTAGTAACCTACCGTTGGCCTTTTTGGCCGCCCACTCAAGTTGCCGAACATCAAAATTGTCGGATTAAGCCATAATTTAGCATGCGGTGGTAGAGAATTGGATATATTAATTGACCGTATAGCTATGAGAGCTCCATCTTCCCCAAGCTCCTTACAAGTACGTAGAGGAGAAAGAAAGTTTTGCGGCGATGCCAATTCTCAGCGCCGTTCTTTTTCGCGGGGACAAACGCCGAAACTGTGCAAGAGAGGTGTTTCAGTAGCCCGATGTGGTTTAGCCCACCCCACAAGATCGCATGAAACATTCCGCTGAAAAAGAAAAGATGACATCAAGCCACTCAGTTTCCACTTTCCGCCGGGAGCCTCGGAGCACAGCCGCGGTGCAATGTGGCGGGCAGGCCTCCGAAATATCAACTACAGAAACTTATCGAACGACTTATCAGTCCCTGTTGCGGCTTTGGCCTCTTAACTGAGCAACAGGGTACTGTTTAAATACCCACCCAGGGGCGCGCGTTATGGTGTGCAGACCCTTAAGGCTGAACCGGGTGCCGTCTCGGGCCGTACAATTTCCCTGCCGAACCGGCAATCGAGGAGCCCGGCTCGGGACACACCTTTGGAAGCGAAAGAAAAATGAAGAACCTCCCACATCATCACGTTCCTGTTGTTCTGTTTCCAATTTCATGAATATATTCATAAAACCTCTCCGTGGCATCGAAATTCAATTTACATGCGCCATTAGCTTTCTGCACATGACGTGATGTTTGTGCCAATCGCCGGTACATGCGGTTCTAGGCATGGCTTTTGGTCGATGGTGACGAGGTTGAGTGGATTTCGCTGGGGATTGACTGAGTCGTTGGTGGACATGCAGCCCCTCGGGCGGCGATATGGTAGATCCTTTCGTGAGAAGTTCGAGATGACTAACTCCCATTATCTACAAAAACGAAAGAAGCAAATTAACCGGATATCACGTAAATTGGCCATTATGTTCGATCTTCACTTCTTGAAGCAACCAGGAAACACACAAAAGTTTTGTCCTCCCGCCCGACAAGGGTGGTCTTGAGTTGGTGGGTAAGGTGAGATAGCGACAGGAGGAGCGGTGAGCTGGGCGCCGGTCTCAGAACGGCAGTTCCGGACCTCGCAGTGGCCACTCGGATACTTACTTTCCAGCCGGGTGCAGTCCCGCTTCAAGTTTCGTACGCGGGAGGAAAACGTAAGAAAGGATGCCGCACGACGACAAGCCCGTCAGCATGCAACGTCAGAAGCGATGCAGATTAACTAGGTAGTGTACATGTACATACATACCTCCACGTGCGTGTACGGATGATGAGGGTGAATGGCATGCATCCAAAACCGTCGACGAGTCTAATGGCTGGAAGCCGTCATGATGCTGCACGCTGAGCACGCGGCCCACCCGTTCCACTCCTCCTCATGCTCTCTTCTGCCCGAAGTAACAATTCGGGCCTAACCGGACAGAGGATTGACTGTGATCTGTCCTATGGATCGGGTTCTCCCCACCACCAGTTGGTGGTGGCACACAGTTGGTGGTGGCACAGGCTCATCATTTCAAAGTACACACTGTGTACTGCATCACAGCATCGTTGGATCACTGCATCAGTCTGGTAGCACAGGCCCATCGAACGGTGCAACCCGCCCCATTGGCAGTGTGGCAGTCTGCCAAACCGCTCACCAGCACCCAGCACCGAGCGCCCAGCTGCTGGAGAACGGGAACAAGCGTGTACTATGTAGGTGAGCCGAAAGGGGTAATCCATCTTCCCCACACACACCACTTCTCAGACCTTGTGCCGCTCACGCCCAGGGTGTCTCGACACGACACGACTCAAGAGAGCGCGGGGCCGCGGGGGCTTGCCGAGGCCGCACAATCTGTCCGGAGCCCAGACCCCCTGGCCACCATGGTCGTCGGCCGGATAATTATGGCTGCAAGGCACCTGCAGCGCATTTGTTGAAAAGAGTTGTTGGAGGAAATACTACTTACACAAGATGTCACAATCACACTACCCTACCACTCATCGCTTGGCCTGCTTTTGAAGAACCGTGGGAACGTGGGTAAGGTGAGATCAGGATACGAAAGATGTGGACTGGGGAGTGAGCGAGTGCTCGTCACTTTCCCAGCACATCGAACATGGACATGGACATGGACATGGGCAGCTATCCCCGACCAAATTAAAAATCAGATTCCATGAGATCTGCTGATAGGTTTGAAACCGGCGTGATATCTTTATTTGTAGGCGCGGTAATTCGCGGTACTGGCCACAAAATGACTGGGCTCTTTTTCTTTTCGTTTCGGCGGAGAGCCAGTCGGGAATGTTTGCGTTGTGGTTGGTTCCATGTTTCTCGGGAAACAGAACATGAGCAGAGTCGTGCTTGCATTGCAGCCAGGCAGTCTCGTCCTTTTGGGGTCACTCCACTCCTGCGGGCAGAATGCACACTCCCTTGAGCCCCACTTCCCCCACTTTGGCCATTTCCGCTTTCCAGAACGGCCACGCTAAGATACCCTGGCTTGCCTGGCGACGCACGGGCTGGACCCACACAGGGTATCCGCCTGCAGACGCCTGAGCATCCTACCCCTGCACCCCTGTCCATGTCCGTGAGCTCTGCAATTGCTTGGGTGGCGCCCGCCGCATGTCGGGCAAGGTACCTTACCTTTTTTTCCTTGGGAATGACTTGGCCAGCCGGATTGCCTTGCGCTTCCCCCAAAGTTCATCAGCCGCCCCTCCGCTCTGGGGTGTTCCGTTCCTTTTCCTCCCTTACGACACACTTTCCCCATCCCATCCCATTCCCTAGCACGGCCCGTCCCCAACCACCGTTGGAAGCATATTCGTCCACCTAACCACCTGCCGCCCGATGACAATCGGAATCACGGCTTGCATTTAAAGCCAAAAACTGCGAATACCGTGTAGCCGTTTCGCGGTGACGCGCATTGCATCCACGCCAAGGCGCTCCTCCTAATCCCGAGTTGTGTTTTTTGCGCGTGCGCGGGGAGGCTGAACCTCTGGCCAGCTGTTGTTGATCGAGGGAAAAATTTCCGCCGTCGCTGTCAGGTTACCCCATCAACTCACCACACGATACCAATCGCGATTCCATCGAAAATCGACCTTCCTCATCCCTCAGCCGCGACTGCGGAGACAAAAGGAACAATAGCGAGAGATATTTCGACGAGAAACCATGTCGTCGATGTATCCCGGCCATCAGGGTATGAGGGGCGTGCCCCCTGCCAATGGCGGCGCCAGCCGTCTCAACGAACTACTCGACCAAATCCGCGCCGAGTTTGAGTCTCACGTTCGCCAGACCGAGACCTACGAGCATCAGAGTAAGTCGTTACCGTCCTGGCCCTGCCATCATTAACGTCACCGCGTCATAAGCGCGACGGGACAAACCCTACCAGCGGCCTTGGCCGTCGCGCAGTTCGTCGGGTGGGCGCTAACAGTTCGTCTGATAGTCCAGGCCCAAGTCCAAGAAATGCAAATTATTCGTGAGAAGGTCTATCAAATGGAACAGGCCCAAATGGGACTCAAGCAGAAGTGAGTTACCCTCCTACGTTGTCTGCCAGCCTCACCGCCCTAACGCGCCAGTTATCAGATACGATGACGAAGTCGCCATGTTGCGCCGCCAACTGGACAACCGCGGAGGCCCGCCGGGTCCCATGAACCCCCCTCCCCAGCACGTCGCTCCTCCTCAGCAGCCGCCGCAGATCGGTAATCCGGGGAACAATACAGTCATTGGGGCCATCCTCTCCGGCCAAGTCACCCAAGGAGGCCTTGTTCCGCCTCCCCACCCCCAGCAACAACAGGAGCAACAGCAACCCCCTCCGCACATGCCCCCCGCGCCCCCCGGACTGCAAGGCCCGCCGCCGCCGCCGCCGCCGCCCCCATCTCAACAGCCTCCGTTCCAACCGCAGTATCCGCAGGCCCCCGCGCCGGGAGGTTTCCCTCCCCAACCCCCGCAGAGCACCGCCTCTCCGGGGCCGGGAAACAAGCGACCCATCGGCAGGCCACCGGCAGCTGGCCCGGCCACGCCGCAAATAAATACTCCGGTCCCTTACAACGGCCCTGGCCAGTCCCCCCAGGTCCCTACCCACCCGACCCCCGACCATACCAGGATGGCCCAGCATGTTCCCGCCCCCCCGCCTCATAATAACGCCCTGGGCGACCTTGACCCGGAGCGCCTGCCGAACCACATCAAGAAAGTGAGGGACGATTGGTGGGCTATTTTCAACCAAACCGTCCCCCGGGTCTTGGATGTGGATCTCGTACACACCCTTCAGCACGAGAGCGTCGTATGCTGCGTCAGGTTCAGCCATGACGGCAAATATGTCGCAACCGGTTGCAACAGATCGGCTCAGATCTACGATGTCAACACCGGCGAGAAGATTTGTGTCCTCCAGGACGAGAGTATCGATCTCAATGGCGATCTTTACATCAGGAGTGTCTGCTTCAGCCCTGATGGCAAGTATCTAGCCACCGGAGCCGAGGACAAGTTGATCAGGGTGAGTTTTGCTTTGTGCTGAACTTTGTTTTGTGTCACAACAGCCATGCTAACTTGCACAGGTCTGGGACATTCAAAACCGCGTGATTCGGACCACGTTCGCCGGTCACGACCAGGATATTTACTCCCTAGACTTTGCCCGCGATGGACGCACCATCGCTTCCGGTAGTGGCGATCGGACTGTCAGAATCTGGGACCTGGAAACGGGCAACTGCAACTTGACGCTCACCATTGAGGACGGCGTCACGACCGTCGCCATTTCCCCCGATACCAAGCTGGTCGCTGCTGGCTCTCTGGACAAGAGCGTGAGGGTGTGGGACGTTAAGATGGGTTATCTCCTCGAGCGCCTCGAAGGTCCGGACGGCCACAAGGACAGTGTCTACAGTGTCGCGTTCTCCCCCAACGCCCGTGAACTTGTCAGTGGCAGCTTGGACAAGACGATCAAGATGTGGGAATTGACCACCTCTCGCCAAATCGGCCACACCCAGCAGCCCCCACTCAAGGGTGGTCGCTGCATCAAGACCTTCGAAGGTCATCGGGTACGTTTACAAGCCGACCTTGATTTACTGTGCACGTCCGCTAACACGAAAGATACAGGACTTTGTCCTCAGCGTTGCGCTCACCCCCGACTCGGAATGGGTGCTCTCCGGCTCCAAGGACCGTGGTGTCCAATTTTGGGACCCGCGCACCGGCCATACCCAGCTCATGCTCCAGGGCCACAAGAACTCGGTCATCTCCGTTGCTCCCAGCCCTGTTGTCACCCCTGGCGGCGGCTTCTTCGCCACCGGTTCGGGTGACATGCGCGCACGCATCTGGTCGTATACTCGCTTGGATAGGCGGCCGTAGAAGGCCATAAATGGCGAAAGCACCGTGCGTCCCTCGATTGGGGCTAAGGTGTAATTTGAGATTGCGCAGCGACGCAGGTTGCGGGGCCGTCATAAGAATAGAAATAGGGTTGGGCTGAGGGGCGATGATGGCTTGGTCGGAGCTGGACTACTCGGGGGTTGGAGTGTGACGTACGTAGGCGGTTTCCCATTTGGATGTCGCGGCGTCAGGAATGGCTTGGAGAACTTTCTTCCCTTGTTCCTTCTTTCTTTTATGTTGGTTTTTGTGGGATGGATGGAATGGGTCACTGTTGTTGCTGTTGTGTTGTCTTTTGTGTCAAATGGTTGCTGGCCGCTAACCGCCCTCCCCCCCTGTATTAGGCATGCTGGTAGTTCAGCAGCCTACCCAATATGTAGTAGGTCAGATCTAATTGACGTTTGTCAGGTATGTGATTTGGCGGTTTGGTTGTGTGTGTGTGCTGCAATTGCGGACATGTATTGTATTAACCGTATCCCTCACGTATGTCGCTGTTTATACATGCTCTGAAATGTCCCGTAGGTAATTAATTAATCATCCACATAGCCATCCTATTCCTTTTCTTACAGCCTTCATCATCGATACCCTCGCTCTGATCAACGACCCTTAACATAACCGACCCAACCCGCTTCTAGGCTCAATGCGTACATATGTGATATCACAACCCCCCAAAAATATCATCAAACTCATCCCCCTTCTTCCGCTTCTTCCTCTTGGGCTTCTTGCTCTTGCCGTCGTCAAGCGAGCCAAAAATGTCGTCGAACTCGTCGCCTCCTGCGTCCTCGCGAGTCTTCTTCTTTTTCTGTTGTAGCCTCGCCTTGTCTGGGGGTGGGTTTTTAGTGGTGTTGTTGGATTCTTCGTCGCCTTTTCTGGGCTTGGCCTTCTTCTTGACATGGGATTTGGTTGCTGCTGGGACGGTGTCTTCCTCTGACGAGCCGAAGATGTTGTCGAACTCGTCGTTGCCTGCTTTCTTTGCCCTCTGTTTGGGCTTTGCTGGGTCGGGGCTGGTGCTGCCCTCTTTGCTGGGTGGTTCGGTTTTTGATAGAGTGATTTGGGTGGATAGTTTTCGTTTGGATGGGTTGATTGGGAGGGATATGGATCGTGGATGGGGTTGTCCTGCTGGCCGTGAAGGCGCTGATGATGGGGCTGTGTCCTGCTCAATGGATAGCATGACCTCTTCTCTCGAAACGGCCACGCCCATGTCCACATCCATGGCCACATCCAAGCCCCGGTCTACCGTATCCTCCCTCGTGATGTCGCTCAGACCAGTCGACTGCGCCCTCGAGGCTGCTTCCCCCCTCACATCCGGCACGTCCGACGAGTTGCCGGGCCCCGCAGCAAAAGGCGTAAGAGCCTGGTCCACCTGCGCCAGCACCCCGAGTAGCATCAGCCCCAAGGTGTGCCAAACTGCCGGTCCGCCGACAACTGTGTGAAGGCCCTATGAACAGTTAGCAACCCCACCCCATCTCACACCAACACAACAACAACCTACAAAAAACGCCCTTCGGCCCCAATACCCCCCTCAAAAAACGCCCGCCCTTTTTCTCCACCACCCCCATCCCCCATCCCTTTCCCTCCCGCAACCTCTCCCCTTCCCTTCCCCTTCCCCTTCCCTTTTTTTGAACTCCTTTCCTCCCTCTCAACCACCCCCACCGCCCCCTCCACCTCCCCCAGCATCTTGCGCACCTGCCGGCGCAGCATGTCGGCCTGGGCCCACCACTTGGCCAGGCGGTGCTGGTTCTTGTTGCGGTGGTGGAAGCGCTCGAGCAGCTCGAGGGCGGGGGCGAGGGACGCGGCTGTTGTTGTGAGGGTTGTTGATGACGGGGGAGGGGCAGTAGTTGGGGGGGGTTCGTTGGGGGGTGGTGATGGGTCGGGGGCCATTTTCTGGATTGGGCTTTCTTTTCTTTCTTTCTGGGGAGGTGGTGGAGGATGAGGTTGGGGTTTGTTTGTTTGGGTGGTGGTTGATGTTGATGGGTTGGTTGGTGGATGGAATGTTGGGGGAAATGTGGGTATTGAGGTGAGAATAACTGTGAAAAAGGAAGGGCCGAGGCTGAGAGATGAGGCTGATTGGATGGGGTTTCGTGAGTGTAAGTGAGGTTGGTTGTAAGTGTGTGTTTTGCAGAGAAGCCAATGTTGAAAAGTAAGAACAGTGCACCAACCCAGGGTTAGGGTCATAACAGGCGAGACAACACAGGATGGGAGACAAGGGGAGGGGTCGTAGCAAGTGAGCCAGCCAGTTAACTACAGCATTAAGAGTGCCCTTGGGAATCAACAGGTTAGCTGGGGGATATGAACCCAAAGAATGATCAATTATATACCGGCCATGCAAACAGCTCCGCAAGCTTGCTCGCTCAACCGCTGTCATTCCTCGTTCCATGACACAAATAATAACCCACCACAACCCTCGATATCTCAGGGAGGTATACATAACTAACAACTGAATCCAAAAACACAACAATCACCACACTCATCACCACACTCACCACCACACTCACCACCAGTATCCCACGTTGGTAAAGGCCGGCCCCTAGCAAACCCTCACACCACACACCTCCACCCCCTTCGTCTCGACATACGCCCTCCTGGCAAAATACCGCGCCGACACCTCCCCCACAAAATCCGCGTCCGCCTGACTCCACACATCCAGCCCCATCTCCGCCAGCGCCTCGCTATCCACCCTCACCCATCCCATCATCCTATTCCCACCCTCACCACCACCACCCGCACCACCCAACAACCTCGCCGCCTCCTCCCCAGCAGCGCCAGCACCAGCACCAGCACCCCGCGCCCCCGCCGGGCCATCATAATCCGAGTACGGCTCCGCATCCTCACGGAGGTCGAGCCTGAGCCCGAGCAGGTCATCCTCGTCCGACGAGTCGACAATGTCGGCCAGGACCGACAGCAGCGACGTGGTCAGGCGGTGGAAGTAGGCGACGGCAGCCAGCTCGATGCGCGCCCGCATCTCGTCGTCGCGATCGTCACCGCCACGGTCTCCGTCGTCGTTGTGCGCCGTGAGCGAGGCCAGCGACGAGACCATGTCGCTTCCCGCGGCGGCCGCGCCGAAACTGGTTCGTCTTTGTTGCGGTTGCGGTTGCGGTTGCTGGCTGCGTGTTTGGGTGGATGGGGAAGAGGCGGTCCCGGCCGGGGAGACGGGCGGCGCGAGGTCCGCGAGGAGAGAGGCGTCGTGGCTCTGCTCGTCGACTTCGTCGCTGTGGCGCTTCTCGCCTGCCGAGGCCCACCACATGAAGCCGTTGTAGGCGAGGGCGGCCCAAGTGGCGGGCTCGACGATGGTGTCGGTGTCGTCGCCGCTGCCAAGGGTGGGTAGGGAGGAAGGGCGGTCCTCGGCGGCTGTTCCGGGGCGGGAGCCAGCGGGTTTGGAGAGCCTGATGGCGGGGGTGGTGGGCACGGGGGAATCGCTTGTTTCCGACGGGGGGCTGCGAGGGTTGGGTGGTGGTTGTGTGGGAGGGTGGGTGGCTAGCCGGGCGAGGCCGAGGGTGAGGGAACGGAAGCGCCGAAGGTCACGCTGGGTAGCTTTCACAGGAACACCCTTGGGACATTCTACAGTGGGCCAAACGCGCTGCTTAGCACTCGATGAGTGCGGAGGAGGCATGGTAATGAGCATGTCCCAGAGCCCCTCCTTCATCGCGAGGATGCTGTCGGTAGTGCACGCTACCCAGCCCGAGGTAGTGTCGTCAGGGTTGTTGTGGCTGTCGCGGTCGTCGTTCATCTGGCTAGCTCGTTTCAATGCCGCTTGGTGCTCGAGCAAATAAGATATGTCGTGTACTCCGATGCAAAAGAGCGGCCGGAGACGTTGGACGGGGGCGGCAGGGTCTACTACATCGCATACGGAGAGGGGTATATTGGACAAGACGGAAATATCGTATACTAAGCTGGGTTAGTGAACGTCCAGAGACCCTCCATCGGAATGCCTACCGAAGTTGCAAACCTCGTGCACCGGGGCATGGCAGGAAATCAAAATACGTTTGCGCAGCAGCGCGGCACGCTGTATCGGAAAGATCAAGGGCCCAAAGGTGTCCAGCAGCGAGGTCAGGCTCCAGGCCGGATGAAACGGAGACAGGCGATGGCCTGGTGGTATCAAGGCGGTGCCGTCCGAGGCAGAACGATTCCTAGCATGCCCCTTGCCTAATCCTGGGCGGCTAGCCTTGATGCTGAGCAGAGGTGACTCGAGTGGGGTATCCTTCAATGGTTGTGGCGCTGTCGTCTCGCTCACCCCATGGTTCTCCCAGTACTCGTCCAGCAGTTTTGTTTGTTTCCTATCGGCAGCCAGCTTGGCCGCCATGTCCTTCAAACCCTCGGCGTGGCGCCATGCTCTCCCGAGGCGGCCGTAGCTAAGCGGAACTAGCACGCCAACCGCGATCATGCGTGCATGGCGCGTCTCCTCCTCGTCGGTGGGGGTGTTGACGAAGGCGCTAAGGCCAGCGTGGCTACCATCGTGGACGAAGTATATCAGGTCGTCGGGCACGGTGTGCAGACCCGACGGCAGGCTCTTGTACTCCACGGTACCTTCCAGTATCCGAGACCCTGCACGAGCCCGCTTCCATAGTGATGGGTATACCCGAGCCTTGACGTCGAAGTGCGATTATGGAAGAGGGCCGAGAATGGGCAGGAAGGTCGGGGAAGACCGGCAAGACGTAGGCTGGGGTAGCCGGGACAAAGAGGGGCGGCCTGCCCACGGCGGGATGCAGCCAATGGTGAGTCGGAAAGGGGAAATGGAAAGTCGGCAAATAGGAGAGAGCCTGCGATGTGTGTGGTGTGATGCAGCGTGCGAGGTCTGAGGTTTGGCGGGTTCTAGGGGCTCGAGAAGCGCTGTTGCGGAAATGCGATCATCATCAATTTCGTCGGTCAAATGGCCCAGGCGAAGTTCAATCAATCATCGTTGCCCAATCTACTTTCTTTTTTCGATTCCTCACACAACCAAGCAATTCGGAAGCGAGGCTACCCGAAGTCGATATTCCTCGGAAGTTGCCTGCCCAGTCCCGTCGCTGTGCTGCGGCTGTCGCGTTACAGGGTCATTGGAGCGGGACTTTGGGGAGCATGGGAGTGGCCTGTTCTTTCTTCCCGCAGCAGCATCATCGCCTCCTTGGCACCGCCGCCCTCGGCCCGTGGAACCCTTTTTCAGGACGGAATGCAGGTGCAGTTCGAGACGCCAAGCTTTTCCCCAAGTGACCCTCAACATTTCTCGACCTCGGAAGAGAGAGAAGCGGGGCACGGTGGTCTCTGAACCAATCGAGGCCGACAGTGGCCCATCCCCCACATGCATCAACCAAGAGCAGGCCAGCTCGTCCAAACTTTTATTTCTGTTGGTGAAGTCACACGTGCGTCTGTCAAGCGATTCTTTCTCGGATGGTGACCGGGAAGCATGACTACACGACAAAGTATCGCACCGCATACCTTGCCCACGAACGACCTAAAAAAGTAAACGGGCGACCCCATCTGATATTGCCCGTAGAAGGCCCCATCTCCTCCTGAATATTTCTCCACCTACTCCAACAACGCCACCACCCACAGAGGGACCGCCGGCAACGCACCGCGGTCGGTGAAGCAAATTCGAACCTCTGCGAACAAACCTAAAACCCGAAGTCCCTAAATATTCGCATCGTCATAGGACACGTAGGGAAAGCGCAACGCGCATCGCATCGAACGGATCTTGCGCTGCTTTGCGCTCTGCACCTGCCTGCCCCGACGCACTCCTTTGATCCTCTCGAACTCCGGCCCTCTATTTCAAGATGGCGTTCCTACTCTATGTCGGCTACTTTCTAGCCGCATACATCGCTTTGACACTCTTCTTCTACATGCTGTCCCCGGTAATACCCAAGTCGGCTTTCGTGGCCCGCGTACTGGCCTCGTACCTCTCCTTGATCATCAGCTCGGCATATGGCGTTCTCGCTTCCATCGTCTTGCGCGCCGTCGGCCTCAACCAGCTCACGCAATGGACCGTCGCCCGCAGCTTCAAGCACATCATGGGCTTCTCCACGGGCGTGACCTTCGACGTGGAGGATCCCGGTAACTACCTCGAAACCGTCCGCCCGGCCGTCTTTCTCGGCAACCACCAGACCGAACTCGACGTGTTGATGCTGGGCTGCATGTTCCCCAAGTACTGCAGCGTCACGGCCAAGGCTTCGCTCAAGAAGGTTCCCTTCTTGGGCTGGTTCATGGCCCTGAGTGGCAGCGTCTTCCTCGACCGCGCCAACAGCAAGGACGCCCGCCAGGCCATGCAGGGTGCCGCCAACGAGATTCGCGACAAGCGCCAGAGCGTCTACATGTTCCCCGAGGGTACGCGCAGCTACTCCAAGGAGCCGATGCTGCTGCCTTTCAAGAAGGGCGCCTTCCACCTTGCCGTCCAGGCCCAGGTGCCCATCGTCCCGGTCGTCGTTGCCAACTACAGCCACATTCTCTGGCCCAAGGGCCTTGTGTTCAACAACGGGCGGATCCCCTGCAAGGGTACGTCACCCCACTAATATCTCTTATCACGTTTAAACCCCTTAAACTAACGTCCGGTTCGCAGTTCTCGACCCCATCCCCACGACCGGCCTCACCGCCGCCGACGTCGACGAGCTTGCACGATCGACCCGCTCCCTCATGCTTCAGGAACTCTATGCGCTTACCGAGAAGGCGCGAGGGCAGAGCGTTCCCAGGCGTGAAGACGCGGGCGTGAACGGAGTGGCAAAGGCCACCGGCACCGATGCGAGAGTCGCGGCCTGAAGCTAGCCGCGCCCCTACGGTGGCCAAACGATGATGGCTGCAGGGCCCGCCGAGGGATTTCTGAGAGAGTTTTCTTTTGAAGAAATACGTCAGTACGGGTCCAATCAGAAAAGAGAAACTGAACCAGAAACGGCAGCGAATAGATACTGCAACGACATACACCCCCGCAGCACACCCGCGTCCGTAGCCGAGTGCAGGCGTGGAGCCGAGGGAAGAGAGCATATGAAATATACCCTTAGAGAGAGATGGAGTCAGGATGCACAGGTCACGATGTGGAACGGTTCTTCTTTGATGATGGTTTAGACGCCACGCCGCTATAGAGAATAGATGGGGAGCGCACTGGGTAGTAGTAGAGAGGGATTGGGTTGCATTAGGGGGCGCCGAGAAGCTTTTATCCAGCATGGCATGGGGTATGTCTATTCTTGGACACACCCGGGAACGGGGAGAGAGGATTCCTATCCCTAGGTAGTTGGTGAGAATCCTAAGTTTCAAGTCACCTTCGTTCAGAAACAGCAGTGCAGGTAAACTGTATACCGAGAGACCGGACATATGTTTCAGTTTCATGCAAGCCAGTACCTAGGTACCGAGCCATGCTCGGGTTAGCATTTCAACTCTTCACCAACCTACACAAGCCAAGCTCACCACCACTGCCCCCGCATCACTAACGGAGCAGGCACATCAACACTCAAAACATCTATATCATTTGATCTACCCTACGCACAGCCCTCCAAACCCGGCGAACCCAAATCAGATCACACATATCCATAAACCTCCCTCACTCCCACCCTCCTGTCTGTCCCCTTTACTCCCACCCATCCAACCCCCTCTAACCCCTCGCCCACCCCTCCAACCCCCTCAACACACACCCCTCCCCACCAGCACCACGCTCCCTCTTCACCAACCTCCCCACAGTCCACACCGTCTCGCCCTCCCGCTCCAACACCGCCTTCACCTCCCCGGCCCTCGCCGCCTCCACCGCCAGCACCATGCCCAACCCATTGTTAAACGCGCGCGCCATCTCGGCCGGCTCGACCGCCGACGCCAGCCAGCCAAACACGGGCGGCACCTCCCAGGTAGCGACGTCAATCTCGGCCGCGAGGTGCGCGGGGAGCATGCGCGGGACGTTCTCGGTCAGGCCGCCACCGGTGATGTGCGCCATGCCCTTGATGGCGGCGGCGTTGCCGTCGCTCGTGGCGGCGAGGGCGGCGAGCAAGGGCTTGACGTAGATGCGGGTGGGGGTGAGGAGGGCTTCGCCGAGGGTGATGGTGGTGTTGCCGGTGGTCCAGGGGCAGGGGTCGGTGTAGGCCAGGCCGCGGGAGGCGACGATTTTGCGGACGAGGGAGAAGCCGTTGGAGTGTACGCCGGAGGAGGCCAGGCCGAGGAGGACGTCGCCCTCGATCATGGCGTCCTTGCGGGGCAGGCGCTGGGGCGCGCGCATGACGCCGATGGCGGCGCCCGCGGCGTCGTAGTCGTCGCCTGTGTAGAGGTCGGGCATTTCGGCGGTTTCGCCGCCTACGAGCGCGCAGCCGGCGGCGCGGCAGCCCTTGGCGACGCCCTCGACGAAGGAGGTGGCGACGGATACGTCGAGGCGCGAGCAGCCGTAGTAGTCGAGGAACATGAAGGGTTCGGCGCCCTGGACGACCAGGTCGTTGACGTTCATGGCGACGAGGTCGATACCGACGGTGTCGTGCTTGTTCATCTTTTGCGCGATGATGAGTTTGGTGCCGACACCGTCGATGGCGCCAACGATGATGGGCGCCCCGGGGTGGCCGGCGGCTGAGAGATCAACTTCTCCACCGAAACCGCCAATGATGGCGTCCGCGCCGGGGCGCCGGGTAGTGGCAACGGCAGCCTTGATACGGTCGACCAGCTCGTTGCCGGCATCGATGCTCACGCCAGACTGCGCGTAGGTGAGTTTGTCGGTGGTGTCAGTGGCGCGGAAGGCGCGGTGGGCGATGTCCTTGCGGTAATACATGCCGTCGAAGTTGATCAGCTTGACGCCCTCGTAGGCCTTGTCGACAGCCGCGCGGAGGGAGTCGCCGGTTGCGGTGGCTGCGATGACGCGGCCGCCCGAGGTCAGCAGCGCATCTCCGGACAGCTTGGTTCCGGCGTGGAAGATGTTGATACCGTCAGGCGGGTTCGCGATCTGCATGGGGATGTTCTTGGGGTATGATTCCGGATAACCAGGGGCGGCGACAACCACGGTCGTGCTGAACTTGGAGGAGACTTTGAATGTGATATCCTCGAGATACGGGACGGGCCCGGCGCATGCGTACATAATCTTCGCCAGATCCGTCTCGAGCAGCGGAAGCACCGTCTGCGTCTCGGGGTCGCCAAAGCGGACGTTGTACTCGAGCACCTTGGGGGTGCCGTCGGGGGCGATCATCAGACCGGTGAAAAGGCAGCCGCGGAAGGGGAAGCCGTCCTTGCGCATGCCGTCAATGGTAGGCTGGAGGATCTCGCGCTCGATACGGGCAATTAGCTGCGGCGTGGCGAGCTTGGTCGGGGCATAGCAGCCCATTCCTCCGGTGTTGAGGCCAGTATCACCCTCGCCGATACGTTTGTGGTCCTGGGCGGGGGGCAGGGACTTGATGGTGGTGCCGTCGCAGAACGACAGGATGCTCAGTTCGTCGCCGATAAGAAACTCCTCGATGACGACTTCGTCGCCCGCTGAACCAAATGCCTTGTCCTGCATGATATCTTTGAGCCCCTGTAGGGCTTCCTCCTGAGTCTGCGGGATGATCACGCCCTTGCCGGCAGCCAATCCGGTGGCCTTGATAACGACGTTGTGCTTAACCGACTTCAGGTAGTGGCAAGCCTTCTCGTAGTCGGAAAAGTTCTCGTACGTAGCGGTCGGGATGTTGTGTTTCTTCATAAAATCCTTGGAGAAGGTCTTGCTGCCCTCCATGGCCGCAGCCTCTTTGGACGGGCCAAAGACAGGAATCCCCGCATCGCGGAAGAAGCCCTCGATGCCGTCGACGAGGGGTGCCTCGGGGCCCGGTACCACGAGGTTTATAGCATTTTTCTTCGCAAATTCGACGAGTCCCGGGTAGTCATCGGCGGCCACCGAGGTGTCGTTGATGACCTTGGGGATGCCTGCGGTGCCTCCGTTGCCAGGCACGGCGACGATCGACTCCACCAACGGTGACTGGGCAAGCTTCCAGGCGAGGGCGTGCTCGCGGCCGCCGTTGCCGATGAGTAGGATGCGCAGAGACGACATCTTCACGTTGGGTCAAATTGAATCGGTCGTCCTCTGCCCAGCATCTTGACCCTTCTCCGTGTCCGGCGCTAGAAAAAAAAAACCTTAAAAGGGTGTTAATTACCCCTCCCCCGCGTTTTCGGCTCCGTTATCGAAGCACAGGCGTTGATTGGTCAATTCGTGTAAGGGCCAGACAGAGCACGGCTCCCAGGTTTGGACTTCGTTTCTAAAACAGGACCTCATTATTACAGGAGATGGTTCGTTTTTGGTAGTACCATAGTTATGGATTTGAAGATATTTTGTCAAGGCAGTCAGGGGGGCAGACTGACAGCGGGTTGCAATGTTGAACAGGTACCCGAACCCATCTTCGAGCTCCTCGAAGCTTGGCTCGGTGCTCGGTTAGATCTGCGAGAACAGTAACATAGATTAAAACTGTCAAATTACTCGCTGGAATCTAACATAACTGTGTAGGTTGCGACAACTGCCATCCAGACGGGAGTTCCGAGACCGTTCAAGTTCGGCATCGCTTCGAACCGTTATACGAAGTCCACCTGGGACGAATGCGTAACGCCCGAGAGCAACGGTTGGGAGCGAAGGAGAAGGCGGGAATGGGCAAAATGGACGCCAATACACAGCGAGACGTCAGAGCGAGTTGCCGTCTCTCATCTATTGTGAATATCCTGCTGTGCAGCTGCAGTATGCTGCATGGTTCTTGGGTACCATGTTCCCCGGTGGCTGGTGAAATGCCTTTCATCAGCAAGACATCTTGCTCACATAAGAATAGCCAATAACTTCCTAGTTAGTATAGAATCATCTTGTGAAACATTTGAAATGTGGCTGGCGCTGGCCTCGACATTTGGCCGTGAATTATCTCCGCCTTCCCAGCCCCCACGCATAATACCAAGAGTTACAGAGCGCGGGAGCCGTGAACGGCCGCCAGCTGAGACCCGACAGTGAGGTATCTCCCGGTCCGGTGCGAAGTACGGCACATACGGCTACTCGGATGGCGAGGGAGCGCAAATAGCGCTTGGTTGGTGCCGACTGCAGTTCTGAGGGCGGCACGGCGGTGGCGCCGGGGACCGAAATCCTGACTGCCAGAAGTAATATTACACCATACTATAATCCAACATTGTATTGTACGGTCGTATTATGAGATCAAAAGTTCGTCCCCGTGAGGTCAAAATGATGTCTCGGAATCGAAAGAGGGGAAATGCAGCACTGTTGAGGCTCAAGCCTTGGGCGAGTGGAGAGTTGTCTGCCCCTACCTACCAAACCAACCAGCCGGTTGTCGGGTCAGACGGCAGCAGACTACACTTCCTCGGAATGTCGCCAAGGCAGGGCAGATCGGCAACGGTCTGGAAGACGCGAAGGGCGGCGATTGCATCATGATTTGTTATCGCAACCGAACTACCTACCCTCATCTCTGAAAGATGCCGAATACCCGGTCAGCCTGGGTCGCAAAACTTGAATCCGCAGTCTGGCACATTTGGGATCGTAAATTCAAAAAAGTCGCACTGCCGAGTGATGGCCGTATGGGAGGCCGCGCGGACCCCTGGGCCGGGAAAAGGCCATCTTGAGCTTTCAAAGCTCTGCTGCGGAAGGGGCTGGTTGTTGTTGGGGTTACGCGAAGCTCCGAGTTCGTGGGGGTGATAGTTGACCGGGCCCCACAAAACCGATATTCGGGAAGGTGTGGGGCAGAGCAGCCAACACAACCTCCCCTGCTCCCCACCAAGCGATGGAAGGTCATTAGAAATGGGCCCGTCTCCTACCCCGGTAAGTTATTTCAAGGTGTTTTAAGCTCCTCGTTACGGAACATAAGGCAGACGCGAACGGCAATGTTCCCTAACATAGGCTGAAACGCCGTCAGACACGGATTTTATGTTGCTGGACAGCAAGGGAGAGAACCGGGCTGTCCTGTCTGCCGAGCACCAGCCAGGAACTTGGGGGCAGGTTTTGCAGTGGTCCTCGATGCTACCAACGTTCATGAAGCAACCAGCGGGATATCCGCTTCGTAGCGAGCCAATTGCCGGCCGGTGCCGGTTAACGGACCACAGACACGAACATCATCGTGGCCATGTTTGCAGAGGGCAACTGCTGGAAAATACCACCATGGAAAGATGCTGTGCCTTGTTGTGTTCGGGCGGACCTTCAATTGCCTGCTCGCGTGCTAGATGTTCGCTGGATTGGAGCCTGGAGCCTCGGAGGTGCCACGGCGGGCGCTTGCGCCGACACCCGGGTTCAAGATCTCAATTCCGAGCAAGCAGGCGAAGAGACGGAACATTCGACGAGGTGGTAACGCTTGGCAAACACATCCGACCCCAGGCCGCGCGATCGGGATCGGTGTGCAGGGCTGCCCCACCTTGCCCACCACCCGCCGGTTGCCATCGAGAGACATGGTTCTGTTCCTACATGACGCCATGACTTTTGATGATCCCAGGCTCTCAGCGACGTCTATGATGCGATCTGGACAACAACGATTAGCAATACGAAGTAAACCCCAATGCTTCAGTGGAAACTTGAAGACTTCGAACGTTGCAACCTAGCAGCAACCACCCCCTTAAGGAAGGAGCGAGTGCAGCAGTGCAGCTTGTTCGGTTTTTTTTAATATCGAAATCCGCCCCTGCCCAAATGGATTACGTCGAGAGCTGCAGTTGGCTTCTCTCCTCTGAGAGGTCCAAATCCTTTAGTTTTCGTGTTCTCCGGCCGGAGCTGCCTCCACGTCAGGCGGCCGGAAATGCAGATCGCGCGGGTGACTGCGGGAGTTTCCCTGCCCACGGCCAGCCTGCAGACCTGACCTTGCTTTTTGTTCTTCTTTTTCCAGAGCGTAGCTGCGTTCTCGACCCATCTCAATGGCAGTCGATCGACGGGCTGACCGGGCAACACAACCCTCCCGAGCCCTCCCCAGGTCGCCAGTGGCGGCGGAGTGGTCTGTCGACCAAAGGGCCGGTTGCCGTGGTTGGTGCGTCGTCGAATGGGCTTCGGGTCTGGACAAAATTCCCCAGACCCTACCGATACGGTATGTCGCCTGTCGGTCGCCACAACATCGGACTAGTCAAACTACGTGCAGTGTACCTACACAGTGAATTCAGTGCACTCTGGAAGACGTCAACGGCAGGTTTCCGCTTTACAACAGTGGGCTCTCGCGGCAACCCCGAAATCGGGCGAGTTGAGATGCACTTGCTCTCCTGTTGGCCTTTGCCTACGAGGCGAGACAAGCGGCACTGTTGTTTCCTAGATTAGGAACCCCCAATGGACTCCGCCAGAACAGGTCGGCCATCGGGCCGGTCAACATTGCGGTCTCTGAGCAGAGCTGGAAACACGTCAAACCATGCTAAGGAATACCAACAGGGGCACATATGCTTGGCAAGCTTATCACCAAAAGCCGTCGTCATTGGCAGGGTTCGGAAGGCCCACTTGCGGCGTGGTGGGCAGGACAACCACTCAACTCCCTTGATTTTTCAGGGGTGCATGTCCACCATGCTTAGCGTTGGCTCATTGACGCGAGTTTCGACATTTCGTGCAGTTTCCAGGAACAACGGAACAACACACGCAGCCGAGACACCGCCGACGACTGATCGATGGATGGGCCGTGGTTTTTCTTATTCACCTCATAGGAAGACATCAATGCAGGGAAATACCACAGTACGGATTTCAGCTAGACAGGCATGACAGGCCTCACCTGTTTTCTGCTGTCCACTTTTGGGATGGCAGTGGGGGGCCGAGGCGTGAGGAGTGAGGCACGCACTTACACGAGCAGCGATCTGAATTCAGAGAGCCACCGCCTGCGCCGCCTTTTTTCGAGAGCTTGAAACAGCAAACGGTCACAGATTGTTAGTTAGCTATTGCCTGGGTAAATCGAGAGTCAGCTCCGCTACGACTGCGCCATGCCCTGAAGGGGGTTTTTCTCAAGGGAGGTGCTGCGGTGGAGAGGTTGGACGGGCCTCTGGATGCAGGACCTTCCCGGGGTTGACCATCCATCTCCACGACAGGTACGAAGTACACTCGACCGGTGCGGGAATCTGACAGTCGGGGATGTTGTTCGCCTCCTCCTGTGTACTTCCTGCGCGGCCAACAACGGGCCTGGCTGGGCCAACCGGTGGGCACGGTTGTATGCATGCACGGCGCCGTCGGTCCTGGACCAGCTTCCGCTTCGGTCTCACAGCTGGGGGTGTCTGCCCAACCTCGCGATTCCCGGGCAGAGAGCTCTCCGCCGCCCAATCCTCGAGCTCCGATTCCTCTGATCCCCACCTGCCCTCCTACGAAGTACCATGGCCAGCTTCATGCAGCCTAGATGGGATTGTCTCAAGCTGCTGTTGGACATGGGCAAGATGTCATCCCAACCCCGCCGTACCACACTTGCTCTTCGCTCTCGTGGTCCTGCGCTGGATGGCACTGATGGCGTATAAACATCCTGCCTCCCAGATTGTCTGCTGCCCTCTCTCCCCATCCTGCTTCCTCATCGCCGGCTTCTTGGGTTCTCCCAACCACCAACCGTTCGCTAAGGTTTCTCCAGACCCTCACTCCCAACCACCTCGTGCCTGAAGATCCTGGGCCCACCAGATCGGCTTCATCCTCACTTACAACCCAGTCGTTGCCGGCAGACCGGCCGCACAGACACAATGAGAGCAGTATTTTCTATCCTGGCCCTAGCGGCTACGGCCCTCACGGCCAACATCCCCCACAGGGGAGACCGGGGACTGGTCGGTAGGACATACGGACATGGCAGTGGTGGTGGTGGCGGCGGCGGCGGCTATAGCGGTGGTGGTGGTGGTGGCCATGGCGGTGGTGGTGGAGGCGGCGGCTACAATGGCGGCGGTGGTAAAGGTGGCGGTGGTAAAGGCGGTAAGGATGATGACTGCGAAACCATCACCACCAAGGTGATTGTGACTTACACCACCGTCTGCCCCGTCACCGAGACCCACACCAAGCCCGGCCACACCTACACAACCACCTACACCACGACCAGCACGGTCAAGACAACTGTCCCCACCACCATCGTCATCACCAAGACGGCACCCCCGGTAACCAAGTCGACAGACCAGGGTAAGGCAACCCTAGCTAGCCCCTTGAGGTTGTTTACACTTACTAACATGGCTTGCAGTCGTCTACACCACCCTCACCGAGCTGTGCCCTGTGACTGAGACCAAGGTTGTTGACGGCTCGACGGTGGAGATCACCTGGACCTCGACCTCGACTGTTGTCACCAAGGTCCAGCAGACCGAGACCATCTACACAACATCCGTCGCGACGGAGTACGAGACCACTGATGTCTACACGACGGTATGTCTCTTTCAGTAACGACGGCAAAGTGATATCGGCTAACATGGACACCAGGTTACCTGCCCCGTCACCACCTACACCACCGTGATCGAGGGCTCCACCGTCAAGGTCACCCAAACCGACACGTAAGCGCTACCTCCCATACCCTACCCAACCAGTGACCAACTCACTAACACGAAAACCCAGAATCACACTCACCAACACGGACGTGCACACGGTAACGGATATCGTGCCCGTGACCATCACAGAACACGTCCCCGTGACGGTCAACGTCCCCGTCACAGAGCAAGAAACCGTCACGGGCTACTCGACCGTCATCGTCGAAGCCACCGAGACGGTCTGGACCTCGACCCCGCTGCCCCCGACCACCATCATCATCCCCACCATGGTCACCGTCCCGGGCAGCGGCGGCCCTGGCCCCTCCTCCCCCGGCACCGTCCCCGGCGGTCCCGGCCCTTCCTCCCCTGGCGGCCCCGGCCCTTCATCCCCCGGCACTTCCCCAGGCAGCCCGGGCCCCAGCCCCAGCCCCAGCCCCTCGTCCCCGGGCACCGCCCCCAGCAGCCCCAGCACCCTACCCGGCGGACCCGGCACGCTCCCCGGCGGCCCGCGGCCCTCCTCCTACGGCGGCACGCCCGAGCCCACGCCGGAACCCACGCCGGAACCGACCCCGACGCCCACGCCCACACCCACAAACGGCAGCGGCACGCCCATCCCGACGGCCGGCGCCGACAGCCTCCTCGTGGCGCGCGGCGGCAAGGGCGTCGCGCTGCTGGCGGGCCTGGTCGCTGCTGTGGTGCTGGTTTGAGCCTGAGCTTGATCAGGGCCAGTCGGTTGGTTCTCTTTCTCTCTCTCTATCTCTATCTCTATCTCTCTTGCCCCTGCCTCTTGTCTCTTCCCGTGCCTTTGGGGGGCTGGAGACTGGAAGGGGGGGGCTACGCAAAAACACATATGGTGATGTGGTTATGATGATGGGGATGATGACTGGTGGGTGGGTGGGCTGGCGGGCGAGCGTGACCGAACACTCCTTATTTTTGAGGGGGGCTGCGATAGATACACTTATTTGCTTGCTTGGTCATTTTTTTCTTTTTTTTTCTTTATGGGTTGGGATTGGGGCAAATCTCTTGTTTCGACATGGTACTGCAGTTACCTGACGGAAGGGGGCTTGGCCTTGTCTGACCTAAGGGGGTGGTGGTGGTGGTGGTGTGGGATATCTCCTCTTCCTGTGGCTTTTGGGGGGAGGGGTTAATGCTACCTACTTAATGTTTATGTACATATACTATAGGGCTTCCATAGAATGGGCATTGTTACTGATTATTACCTGCTTTGCTGTGCTGTGCTGCTCTGCTCTGCTCTGCTCGTTTGAGTCTTGTGGCATTTCTCTCCCTCCCTTGCCTTGTTGACGTTAATTCATTTTCGGCGTTGGGATTCCACTTTCACAAAGTCTAGAATTGTAATAGTTTGATGCTGGTGATGCTTTTCAATTCAAATTTGGTTTTGCACATGTGGATGCTCAGCGACTCTGAACCATTTATTTATATGTTGATGTTTTTGAATTCGTGTCTGGGGGTCTGCCGTCGCCGTCAACATCGGTATGGATGAAGAGATGTCTGTAGATTTTGCCCATAAAAGTTCTGTGTTTGTCCAAAGGGGCCAGAACCAGTATATGATGCAGCAAGTGTCTACGTATCCAAAAAGAGGCGTGGGGGACCTAGACCAAACATACGGGAGGACCTGGGCAGGGAAACTGGAGGTGTAGGCGACGAAGACTCGTATAATTTGAGTAAGGACCGACCGTCCAGACACGCTGATAAGCATGGCTAACCTGAGTAACCTCGCGTCGAATTAGAAAAATCAACCCAGATGCTTGAGCATTGATGGGAGACTGTACCCAAGCATTGCCAAGCTCGGTAGCGAGTCCTCAGCGCAGACCATCTATAGACTACACAGTATCCACGTTGTCGTCCTTGGTCAGCATAGCAAAGCGGAGCTACTGGTTTTGGCCAGGGTCTTGGCCCTTGGAGGGTTGGTGAACATATAAGTGGACATACAGGCGAACATGACCACCATGTTTCCCGTTTCCCGTTTCCCGATCCCAATCGGGCACCTATGTTCCCACCGGCATGTCTCAGTACCTCACTTCAGCTGGGGCCGAGCCAATCAAGTTCTGTCTGACACGGGGGGCCTTCAGCTCGCGGCATTTCCCCGCTTTAGTATTTACAACCAAACTGAATATGGACCCCAAACATTGAGCCTTGAGGTCGACATCGGCTCGCCCTGCCTGTAACCCCAGTGCCGGCACATGATCTTCGATGGCCGAAATGAAACCCGCTCGAGATTTGACACGGACGGTGTTTCGGCTACGCAACCTTCCCAGCCGTATTTGCAGCCCGAACGAGGTTGCCGACCTGCTCAGCGCCGCCTTGCATTTGTCTGCACACCAAGTCATCGTCTACTCAATCGCAAAGACCTTGAATAAATGGGAGAAGCAGCCATCCAGAGTTGCTACTCTCCAGTTGAAGGCAGTACCGACATGCCTTCAGAATGCAATGGACGACGATGAGTGGGTTATCGTCTTGCAGGGAGGTCACCCGCCGTGGGATGTCCTGATTCTCGATACTCACTTCCGGGGCATGACAGCCCTCACTGATGTCGACCCGGCAAGGCACCGTGCTGAGTAGGTAACACCCGGTGTGCGGCTTTGTCACGCAATCTTTATCAACTAAACATTGTTTTGGACCATCAGCTGCATCGCCGTCTCGGGATTGGCCAGCCACCCTTTTGGCTCATGGCAACCGCGAGGTCACGACAAGACTTTCATGTGGGTACGGGATGCCATCCCGGCCTCGATACCAGGACTCCGGACAATCATTTACGGTTACGATTCGAGCCTTCTCGAGAGCTCCTCGTTCCAATCCATCTCGGACCTGGCGCAGAGCCTGATACTCCATCTCAAGTCTGGAGGCTGGAACCTTCCCTCGTCAAAACCCATTGTTTTTCTCGCGCACAGCCTGGGTGGATTAGTCCTTAAAGAGGCTATTGTGCAAGCGGCCAGCGGCGAAAAAAATATCACCAATATTCTTGATAACGTTCTGGGCGCCATCATGTTCGGTGTCCCAAGCCTGGGCATGGAGCAATCCCATTTGATGGCCATGGTGGAGGGACAGCCGAATGAATTCCTGGTACAGGATCTATCGCGGGAGGGCGGTAGTAATTACGTGCGGCAGTTGCATGCGCAGTTCGAAGGGCTATCGTTTCTCAGGAAAGCGTACATTCTCTGGGCATACGAAACGAAAGTGTCATCAACCGTCGTGGTACGTACCTTACCTACCTAGGTACCTTCAGAACCTCGGCTGGAGGTGTAACTTGATAAAGGCTGCTGTTGACCATTAAAATAAAATCTGTAGCGACGTTCTGATGGAACCTGGGCCAGGACGGGCCGTCCTACCGTTCTTGTGAACCCCGAGTCGGCAACGAGTCACAACTACCGAACCAACAAGTCGTTGACAATTCCCATCAACGAGGACCATTCAAATATGGTCAAATTTCCCCGGGACGATGCAAACTTGAGGCTCATCTTGCATTCACTTTCCGAAATTTGCTCTCCGAATCGGCCTGTTGAGCCTGTTGGCAACGGGAGCGACAACGAAATTGGACGGCGTGATACATTAGGCACAGTACCTGTTTCAATCAGCGATAGCACACAAAAGGATTGGCTACCGATCGGTTCCTCCATGTCATGCGAAGGCGAGGATGCTTTAACAAAACTTGGCCAGCTTTTCGCGTCAATGACAGGTACGTTACACCGTCGATCAAGTTTGGGCTCTTGTATCACTCCAGCCACCAGACCGCCGTGTATTACCCAGCAACCTGTTAACGTAAAACCGGGCGATTAGATCTACACAGGGAGCTGCATACCCCCGAGCTAGACTTCCGCATCGATCAGATTGATGACCCGTTTGAAAACACGTTCAAATGGGTCTTTGATGTGCCTTCGTTCTCCGGCTGGCTGCAGGAAGGATCGGAGCTGTTTTGGATCAACGGCAAGCCAGGTTCTGGGAAATCGACCATCATGAAGCTAATCTATAAAAGTAAGGAGACGTGGGAGCTTCTGCACAATTGGAATACTGGCTCCCTTGAGGTGAAGGCTGGCTTCTTCTTCCACTACCGCGGCAGTGCTATCCAAAAGTCCTTCGAGGGTGTTTTGCGAAGCCTCATCCTCCAACTCCTTGCACCATACCGCAACATGTACCGGAAGAACCATGAGCAAACCTGGGAGGAGTACCAAGCGCTCAAAAGTGCGCAACGAAAGATAGACCAGCAAATGTACGGCATTCGGGCAAGCCTTGAATCCACCCGCAGAGAGATCGAGAACATACGGGAAGAAATTGGAATTCTATCCCAGCGCGGTGACGAGCTGTCCGATGTACAGCGCGCAGCCAATCTGGACAAGTGCCGTAGGAGACTACCACTCCTTCAGTCTCGACACACCGAGCTCTCTAGACGACTGGCGGAAATGACGCCACAGTGGATGACCGAGTTGGCCTCGCTTAGGACCTCTATAACGTCTGTCGCTACTCGCTTCAAGCCGTACAGCACCCAGCCAATGACCAAGTTCCTTACTAAGGCCATGGCCGAGTTTCACGATGAAAGAGATGGACTAATTCCTAGGCTCGAGAGAGTCCTCCGGATCCTTCTCGACCAGAATGCAACTAGGACGGACCTGATTCTTTTCTTCGACGCACTCGATGAGTTTGACGGTCATCTTGACTTGATCAGTCGCTTTCTTAAGGGTCTAATCCAGCGCTCCCCTTCGTCAATGACGGCTGTGAAAATCTGCTTCTCGAGTCGCCCTTGGGAGCCGCTTAGGAAGCAATTTTCTTCGTATCCAGGGTTTGCTCTACAGGACTATACCAGAAATGATATGGAGGAGTTTGCAGCGGGCTCCATAACCAAATCGGATACCACGAACCCTTATATTACCCAGCTAATACCGGGTATCATCGCTCGGGCGAATGGTGTTTTCCTATGGGTCAAGCTTGCCCTGAAAGTCCTTTTTGAGACAGTCATGTACAGCCCAAACGCTGTTTCGCCCGAGCTGCTGGAGTCCAAGCTACTAGGGCTCCCCGATGATCTCTTTGAGTTTTACGAGCTCATCATCTACCGGATTAGCAGGAGCAACCGGCGACGAACATTTGCCTTGCTCGAGCTCCTCATCCGCCACAGCGGTCCTCCGGTTACCGCTATTCAGATCCGAGACGCTGTACTGGTATCGAGTTGCAATTCTTATCAAGAGGCCATGGACGCACTGCGCCAAGGACACCCAGAAAGTGGAAATGGATCACTACCTCTACCAAACCTCTCTTACCCCAGCGATAGCGAGAAACAAGCACGAAAAGACATTGCGGCTTGGGGTGGAGGGCTGGTCGAGATCAAGAGACAGGATAACATTGACCGGCCCCAGCTAATGCACCAAACGGTCCTTGAGTTTACCACGAACCTCACGTTCAAGCGAATTGTAGTGGGGGATCTTGCATGCCTCGTCAATGAAAACGGGCATTCATTCCATCTCAAGTACTGGAGCTTGAGTAAGAGATGGGCGCGGGACAACTTCATGGCGATCGGAGGAATGCAGAATAACCATGACCGCGCTCCCAGGCACCAGGCTTACCACTCCCAAGACGAAGAATTACAGCATCTCGCCTACCACGCCGAGCAGTCAGAGCTTACCACTGGCATGAGCCATTTCGACTATCTCTACAGCATACCCTTTCTCGATCCTTACGGGCTGGAAGAGAGCTGGAACCGGGACGAGGTGTTTGTGTTTCTCGTCGCCTCATGTGGGCTGACATTGTGCCTTCGAGACTGGCTGGCCCGGATCGCGCCTGACGGGTTTACTACCATGAACAAGCCCCTGCTGACGAGCTTCCCCTTACTTCAAGCACTGGTGTTCGCCCCCCCTTGGGGCGTGTTTTTCGAGAGATATATGACGACCATCCGCCTCCTCCTCGAGAATGGCTACCCGGTGAATGACGAGCACAACTTCCTCACGCTGCTGTACAAGGAAACCTGGCGGAACAGACAGCATACCTACCCGAAAAGGATCTCTGACTCGACTCTGCTCAAACTGGCCACGCTTGCTCTTGAAGCTGGAGCCAGTGCAAACCTTCTCCTGGGCCTTTTCGGCGAGGACAGTCGCTTTGTGTGCAACGCCTGGCCACTGCACATTGTGCCGCCTTCCCTCGCCTCGGAGATGATACGCCACGGCGCGAACCCCAACGCCCTTGATGATGCAAACCGGACTCCTTTGGATTGGGTCGTCTCTTTCCCCAGTAATGGATTGAATAAGCCTGTGGATTGGGATGGCGTCGGGCGCTATGAGATGTGCCAAATTCTCGTCAAGGCGGGAGGCACCCCGTCACAATCGACTTTAGAATCGAAAGCCTGGGCAGACATGCTCGCCGAGTTCGAGAAGGAGGGCTACGATACACAAATGATTCGGCAGCGCGTTCAGCCTCCCGGCCCGGTTGAGCCTGTGGGGGGTTTACTAGTTGAGCCGCCTGTTCCTGGACCTATTGAAGAAGACTGTGCAGACGAAGAAGAACTGGAAACGAGGGGTGGCGCGGCGGAATCAGGAGGTAGATTGGAGGAAGGAAAAAGAAGGAAATCCCGTCGTCACAGAGAATTTTCTCTGTGGTGTTTTAGGTAGATTGGAGAAAGGAGAAAGAAGAAAACCCCGGGCCGTCGTCCCAGATCATTTTCCAAGTTTTCGCTGTGCTGTTTTAGAGACTGGGGCTGAAGTTAGGTATGTATTCTACACCAAGAGGAGAGCATTTTGCGGTTCAACTCCAGTCAACCACCGACAGGAAATAAACAACCCGGAAACCAACCAGAAATGCCCGGAGATTTGGAAATTCTTACACGTACCATAACGACAAGGCTTTAGCTCCATGTCACTTGCTCAAATCACGAGATCCCACGTCACCAATGGAAACAATGTGATGGATTCGTTAACCCCGGCAGTCACCCAAGTTCAGAGGGATCATCAGCCTACGCCACAGAGGCCACCCTCAGACCTCTTCTGTGACTGGAGCTACCAACAGAAACCCATGCCGTGTTACCGAAGTGCGCAGCAGCAACCAGCTGGGTAGGTACAGTGACTGCTATGATGTAATGTTTGGTTTGCTCGTATCTGCACTGCTCGCATTGTTGCTTCCGCCATGGGCGTCTGACCTCGTGTTGGTTGCAAGGAGGATTGCTCATTTTATAGGTAAGGCACCTGGTAGGTAAGGCAGGCGTGGCTTATAAAAACGAAACTTGTTCCTTCCTCGATCGATTATTACAGGCAACCTTCATACGACCGCAGAGCAATTCCGAAAATAACAGGCTCACTTCACCAAACAAAAACCTCCATACAAACCTACCAAGCCTACCTCAATAATCACCATGTTGTTCAAGACGATCTTCACCGTTTTGCTCGCTTCCCTTGCACAAGCCTCGCCCGTGCCCACCGAGCACAACGAGATCGGTGGTGTAAGTACCCCCCACTTCGTTACTTATTAGCCGTCTGCATCCCCGTCTCACACAACCGCCTCCCCGCATAGGTACTCATCTGCACCGACCCCAATGGCCAAGGCCACTGCGAGTATAACGTCTACGAGCTCGAGAAGTGCTACAACCTGCCGCCGACCCTGATCCACAACGCCGCCACCTTTGCACCAGACGATGCGCCTTTCTACTGCTACCCCTACCTGTGAGTTTTTGCCACCGCTTGGCATATCCATCCCTTGAGACCTGGAAACTAATGACGATAATGCGAAAGCACGGAATGCGGCGGCATCTGCATGTCGCCGACGGGGTGCACCTTTGGCGCCGTGTCGTACGACTACGAGAACAAGTTCAACCTCACTAGAATTGGGTGGAACCAGTACATCGAGTCGTTTGAGTGCCATCTCAACAGGACCGAGGATGAGAGTTCGTGAACTTGGGGATAATGGAAAGGAGAGGAGTGGTTGAGATCCGGCCTTGGCTTCGGTGTTCGGCGATGACGGCATGTCATTTGGTGGGGTTGCTTTTCTTGTCTTCTCTACCCCGCCATCGGCAAGTCAATTGGCGGGGTAGCTTTCCGGGAGTTGGTGCTTTGAATTGGGAGCTTTAGCTATCTCTAATATCTGGTGGTAGTAATTAAGGAGGAGTTAATCCGGAAGTAATTAAACCTCCTTTCCCCCTTCTCCTAACCGGACTGCTTGGTACTCGGTGATTTCTAACCACCCACACCCTCAGCTTCAACTCAACCATCAACACCACCCATCACCCAAAGGCACTATCACCACCACCACCACCACCACCATCATACCACCAACCACCAAATCACCCAACATGACCTTCGAAACCAAAGCCACCATCGCCTCCTTCGGCGGCAAGCTCCACAAACTCACCCACCAATCCACCGAAACCACCACCCCCATGGCCGTCAACCTCTACCTCCCCCCGCAAGCCCTCACCCCCAACCCCACCAAAGTCCCCCTCCTAATCTACCTCTCCGGCCTAACCTGCACCCCGGAAAACTGTTCCGAAAAAGGCTTCTTCCAGCACCGCGCCAGCCAACTCGGCCTAGCCATCCTCTACCCCGACACCTCCCCGCGCGGCCTCAACTACCCCGACGAAACCACCTCGTGGGACTTCGGCGCCGGCGCGGGCTTCTACATCGACGCGACCCAGCCCCCCTGGAACGCCGGCTACCGCATGGAGAGCTACATCACGCGGGAACTGCCGCAAGCCCTCTTCTCCGACCCGACCTACGGCCCGCTGCTCGACGGCGCGCGCGTGTCCATCACGGGGCATTCCATGGGCGGGCACGGCGCGCTGACGCTGTATCTGAAGAATCCGGGCATGTATCAGAGTGTGAGCGCGTTCGCGCCGATCGCCAATCCGAGTCGCTGTCCGTGGGGGGAGAAGGCATTTAGCGGGTATTTGGGCGCCGAGAGGGAGGGGTGGAAGAAGCATGATGCGACGGAGCTGGTGAGGGGGTGGAAGGGCGGGGATTTGAAGGCGTTGGTGGATGTGGGGACGGGGGATAATTTCTATAAGCAGGGACAGTTGTTGCCGGAGAATTTGGAGGCGGCGGCGAGGGAGGCGGGGGTGGAGGGGTTGACGGTAAGGTATCAGGAGGTGAGTACCGAGTTTAGCTCCGGGAGGTTGTTGGGGGAGGGGATTGCTGACTTTGGATTGACAGGGTTACGACCACTCGTACTATTTCATGGCTAGCTTCAGCGACGACCACGTCAACCACGCGGCGAAGCACTTGGGATTGTTGTAGAACAGAGAGTTTTTGAGAGTTTAGCTGGAATATGCGGTTGATGAGGTATGAACGGGCCGCCCGTGTAGAAAGGGGCGGCAGAATAGGTACATGAAACGGCCAACCAGGAACGATACGATATAACCGTCGGTATACAACTTTCCTATCCCCATACAAAATAAAAAACCAATCCTAACAACGCCATATCCATGACTAAATGTCCCTTTTTAAGCATGCCACATCCATACCAACCCCCCTCTCGCTCCCCAACAGATCACCCCCGTACCCCAAACCACCCCCCTATCCACCCTCACCCACTTCCACTCCCACCAACCATCAACTAACCCTCTTCTCAACCTCCCCAAGCCCGACCCCATCCCCCTTCTCCCCCGCCGCCCTCGCCTCCGCCTCCACCTCCTTCTTAACCCTCGCATACGCGAGCTTCTCAAACCGGCTCAAAATCCGCCACCAGTGCTGCCCGGCCTCATGCTCCGCCACACGCTCGAGCAGCGCCGCCGTCCTATGGCGCACGTCGCGGTCCTTGTGGAACAGGCCTAGGGCGACATAGAACAAGCCCGTGTGCGACTCCGGGGCGACGCTCAGCAGCATGCAGATCTCGTCGTAGGAATGCACGTGCTTGGCCAGCGTGTCGTAGATCTCCTTGCTCTGCATGGGTGTGAGCCGCTGCGTGCGCAGCCGGTCGTGCAGGTGCGCGAGGTCCAGGCCCTTGAGCGGCCGGATGGTGGAGAGGTGCGCCATGTCCTGGAGGAGAGGGGTTGTGGTTAGTCGGGGGAATGTAATGTTGATTTGGGTTTCATGGTGTTGCATACCTGGATAAAACTGTAATAGCTCCTCGTGTTACGCCACCCTTCTATCCGCGTCACGTTCCCAGCTAGTTCTTTCGCCTTCGTTGCCTCGTCCACCCACACATACCCGTGCCCATGGGCGGCCGACGGGTTGGCATCCTGCTCCTCGTTGCCTATGTAGAGGGCGCTGGCGCCGTACACGCTCTCTTCAAAGGCAGAGGCTATGCGGGTGAACTTGAGCACCCATGACCTCCACTTGGCTCGGATCACCCGCTCGCCTGCCCTCGACGTGATGCTTTGCAGGATGCCAGCCATAAAGGCGGCGTCGCCTGTCAGGTCGTTCGACGCCGACCCGCTGCTTGACGAGTTGTGGATCAGGTTTGCGTAGGCTGGGTTCTGTTGCTGGAAATAGACCAGACCCTCCGTAATAGGGGCGGGCTCGATCTTGCTACTAATCTTCATCTTGCCGCTGGGCAGGTCGCAGAGCAGGTCCCACCACTCCGGGTGGTGCTCAAAAGTGGGATTTGTCACGCCGGCGATGAACCCAGGCACCTTCAGAAGGTCGTCCACCTTGGTGAGATCTGTGTACGGGAAGGCGTACCGGGTAAACCCCCTCAGGATACCACCCGAAGCGAGCGCGCAGGCGGCGAGAACGGCCTCGGCGACCTCCCCGGACGGCATGTTGTGTCCGAGGAAGATGACCCGCTTCTGTGTCAAGAGGGCGTTGATAAGCACAATAATCGGATGTGTGGTGGGTCCGTTGGTTGTAAGATGAGGATGCAGGGAGAAGGTCTGCGGTGACTTGGAGTGTGAGTCGGAGAAGTTTTGGATTAGTTTGATCAGGGAGAAATCCCCCACAATCTCAGGCATAACAGCCACGGGAACCTTGATGGGGATGGGAATGCCCTTGTACATGACTTTGCTCTCGAATTCGTGTGTGTCCCGGGGAACCACGTAGGCAGCATGTCCCTCAATGTGCGCCTTGGATCCTGACCGAAAGACGGTGGGCTGTGGGGCAGGGGGAGCGTTGCTGGCGTCGAGCGGCTGGCCGACATCGACGCCAGATCTCCCGGAAATACGTGCCTGGATCATCTGCTCAAACTTTTCGACGAACAAATCCTTGTTCTCGCTTGATTGAAGGAGGTGTCTTTCAAGCCAGGTCAGCTTTGGCATCAATGATAAATCCATCTCGTTCACTGCGTTGTAGAGCATTGCCAGGGTTTCAGGCACGGGTGCTTTGAAGTATTCTTCCAAGGCCAGTAGTAATAGAGGCTGAAGAAAGATTAGCAAGAGTGATGGGCCGGCAAGGTCGTATCGTTCCCTTCACCTTATAGATGTGTAAAAAAGGATGCCGGGTGCAGATGGCCATTGCCTTGACCACTGCACCTCGTTTAACCGTTTTGTCCTGTTTTGTGTTGACGAGATTGAGAACGTAAACCAACGGAGGGCCCTCAAAACCGTCTTGTTCTTCATCTGTCGACTCGTCGTCATCCCAGTCGTCGTCATCCAGGTCATCCAAATCGCCTTCTTCCTCGTCTTCTTCATCAGACTCGTGTATTATGCCCTTGGCTCGGTCACGCCTCCTGATCCGCCGAGCTCTCCTCTCCTCTTTGGCCTGTCGTTCCGCCTCGTCCTCTTCGTGGCTAGTATCTTTATGCAGAAAAAATATGGTCCAGTCCTGGTTACGGACATGGGCCTGGTCCGGAAGCATGAGTTCGGCAAGCATATGTTCATCGCCGGTGATGGAGACTGGGTATTGGTGTTCCATGACCGGCCCACGATCAATGTCGAAGGATGCCACCAGGATGTACTCGACATGATTCTCGGTGCTCCCGCGGGGGTACTGGGAGCGCAGCTTCCGTGGCCGTTGCACGGCGGCAGCATAGTGTGGCTGGGCACTTGCTGAAAGCGAGCTGTGCTGAGGAGGAGGCACCGGTGCCGGTAGACGGTGTCTTGCCCTTGAAGCTCGCGTCTGAGGTTCTGTCCATCTCGGGGATCGTTCCCGGCTGGAGGTTGGAGCGAGCTGGTTGGGGCACTGACGTCGGGATTGTCGAGAGCGATCTTCTGATGTTGTAAGGCTTGTGGCGTTGGCGTAGCTAGCCGCACTGCTGATTCTTTTCAAATAAGGGGCAGTGAACTGGGCTCGAGGCCCATCGTAGTCCGGCGTTTGAGCCAATTCCACCTGCCCTGTATTCGTGTCTTTCTTCTTGGCGCATATGTTTTTCTCCAAGGGATAATGAAGGAAAGAGAAGTTTGCTACAGGCGTGGCTATGCTCGCAATGCCGTCAAGGCAATGGGTATAAGAAACAAGAAACGGACTAAATTTGAGGCATATAGTGTTGACAGATTAACCTTCGTAGCTAATTCGAGCTTTGTGAAGGTGGTCGTGCGCAATCTAACGGAGGACTCGAGGGCCCTTGTGTGTTGGGTAATAGCAGGTGGGAAGCGATGAAAGCAATTCTGGAGCTCGAGTATCTATTTGTTGGTGCGCGATTGTTTCGTCTGAATTGGTAGCGGGAAGATTCGATGCCGAGGTGCAACCGGCGGCATGGAACTAGGTCGGCCTCGAGCACGACGGAGGCTCCTGTTCTGTGATGAAGTCAAGCACTCCCGCACGCTTGTTCCCCTTTTCGGCTTCTCGCACACGGGTATTGACAGGGGATTACGACCCTTGCTTGGTGGGGGTTTGAGCCGCTGAGGGGTGCTTGCTTGGAGGGGCGGGTCTGAGAGCGGGCGGCAGCAACCCCCTGCTTTTTGGGGGGCTTGAAACAAGCATTCCATGACACCAGCCCCGCAGCGGTCGCACGCCACAATGCCGCCGCAATTAACCTGTGGCTGATTCACGTACCCCTGCTGGTTGTCCGGTCGGATTGTTTACTTTCCCTTGCCATCGGCCCGCCGACATTGAAAGAGCGGATCGCGATTGATGATGATAAGCCCACGACCAAAGTGTTAGTAACGCCGGGGTTTTATAAACTTGACATTCAACCTTACCTTATTTTGGAGACACTTCAGTGCACTGTTCAAGGCGCCTTGAAACTGATCTAACTTTCATTGGGCGCATTTGTTGATAATTTCAGCGTCACACCGCAGCAAGCCCGCCGCGGAATCCCCTTCTAACATTCACCTCGACGAGCAACATCGGAAAGCCACTTTTGAATATGGTAGGAAACAAAGGAAATGGCGTGTGTCTTTCTAACGATACTGACCGAAACTAGTCGGCAGCATACAAACCGTCTCCGCTGAGTTATGGCGGGTCCGCGCGGTCGTCACCGTTTCGCCGGCCACAATCGCCAGCATCCTCTGCGACATTGCGACAAACTCCTACACCGACGAGGGATGGGTTTTCCGAAGCGCGCGCAAAGTTTATGGGCAGCCCGGTCACAAGTCCACCGCAAGAGTTCCGAAGATCTCGCATACATGCCACGGTGGAAGACGACCCCGACGAATACATTCCTCAGCCGCGCAGCCTTCCTACAATTCCGCGACCGCCATCGGTGGCCGCTTCTACAACACCTAGCACGATAGGTCATGGCAATGCACTTTCGCAGTTGCAACCCTCACAGGTTCGCACAATGCGGGAAGCATTTCAAATCCTGGATCGCGATAGCGACGGCGTCGTGAATAGGGAAGATATCGTAGATATGCTCACTCAACTAGGTAGGGCGAATCACATGCATAGTGTTATCATCACAAGTTGGGCCAGCTGACAAGTAGGATTAGGTCTCCCAGCAAACGCGGGCGACGTGTCCCAATTCTTCCCTCCGTCAGCGCCCCAGACCATGCCAATGGCGCTGTTTCTCAACTCGATAGCAAACTCGTTGGTCGCTTTGTCGCCGGGCCCCGAATTACTGTCCGCATTTTCGGCATTCGACGACGACGACAGCGGCCAGATCGATGTTGCAGAACTCAGAGATGCGCTACTGCATACGGCACCAGAGCCCGGCCAGGAGCCCCTGACGGCGCTGGACGTTGAGAAGGTCATTGCTGGTTTCACAGGGCGGAGGGCGTTCAGTAAGAGCTCAGCCACGGGGCTGGGTAAGCGTGGCGAGGTATTCCGGTACCAGGATTTTGTAAATACAGTTTCTGGTGGGAACGGGGCCGCTGCGCGGGCCGATGACGATGCAGAGGAACCCTGAGTTTCTTTCAAGCGCCCGCCAGGTGTTCGCATGGGCGTTGTGGGGTTGGATGGTTTACTTTTTTGTATCAACACGAATGGGTGGCTGGGCATTGGTGTGCTGCTGTTTGGTGTCATCAAGCCCGGGGCAATACCAACTAACGGTGAAGGGCATGATTTATGGACTATCAGTTCTCGGCATTGGGGGCGAGTCACGGAATTATTACCAACCAATACAATGCTGACTGGCCGCCGAACCGGCGGACTGGCGGACTGCAAGTGGCATGTTGTGCCGTAACTGTGACAGCTCGCTCGTGTGCCATCCGCGCCTAGCGCCGCTCGGCATTTGTTGACATGACATCCATTTTTGGTTCGCATACCAGACACGCATACCAGGCTGCGAATCCGTTGGGAGGCTGGGATGTTCGATGTCAGGAATCAATCCCAAACTCATCGAGAAACCTGCTATTATCCAGGCCGAATGGACGGTTGTTCAACCTCCCCTGACGAATGACGACAGGAGCTCCAGAAATGGCAAACGGCTTGACCGGGAGAGCACAAACGTTTCCGAACCTGCGACGAGCCTGGGACGGACCGACCCACAGAAGCTTCGAGAATTGGTTTCCCCAGCCTCCGGTCACGAATCGCTTACAGTGATGTGTGCCCCGATACGTAAATTCTTTTGCCTGCGCCAGGGTCCTGTTCCAGCGCTTGAATGGTCCCGTGGCGGCCTGGAGACAGGCGCCGGATCCCACCCGCTGTCCCCCGCAGTTCGGCGCTGGTGTTTGACGAATGACTCTCTCCTGCCTACCAATTTCCAGAGCAACGGGCAACCCCAGCCAGCCCAATATTTTCTTCGAATCGCAAGTCAAGAGGCCCCAAGGGCTCCGTGATTTGCCTGAGGGCTGAGCAATCGTCTAAACCCTTCCAAACATCCGAAGCGTGATGGGTTGATCATCCTGCTGCCTCTGTTCGCCGGTTTTTGAACAGTTCCCCGACCTCCAGCCTTTCCCAACTTTTTCCGCCTGGTGCCCCAGTTCTTCCAGGTTGTTGCCAGGAAGCCCCCTCCTCGACTTTTTGGCCGCTTGTGCTCCGAACAAAAAAAAAAACTAGAGTTGCTCGCAATTGCATGCACACCCGCTCCGATAACCTAGGATACCCGGCGCTTGGTACCCTCCCCCAAATCCTCCCAGCTATTTTTGCCCTGATGCACCGGCAGCGATACACTGCCTGACCTTGTCCCGGGAGTCACGCCGTTTTGACGCTTCATTTTGCGGGACCAACCGCATATTACAATCCGGACCCCGGTAGTTGACGACTTTCTGCTGCAATACCTCGCAAATGAAGTTTTTCTCCAAAATATCGTCCAAAAAGCCAAACTCCGCCGACGAGGAGGAGGACCAGCAAGCCGCCTTCTTCGAATCGTCGCAGCCATCCTCGCCCACCAAGTCTCCCACCAAGTCGCCCACAAAATCTTCAGGTTCCCGGTCGCCCACTAAAAAGCCCTCTTCTTCGCAGCGTGCCCCCTCGCCGAACTCGCGCGAGTCCAAGCCGCAAACCCAGCGCACCTCGCGCCCCTTTGGGCGGCACCCAACCGACGCCGGGCGCCGTAAAAAGATCGACCCGGACACTCACCCCCTCAACCTGCCGCCCGAGCAGCGTAAGCGCTTCTCGGAACTCTCTGCTATGAGCGCCCGCAATTCAATGGATGTCGACAAAGAGCCCGTCAACGGAGGCAACCCCTCCTCGCCTCCTCCCCCCCCTCCGCAGGCGCCGCCGCCGCAGTACCAGCCGCCACGCCCGGCGAACCCGCCCTCCCATCAGAACACCTTCACCGTGCCTGTGACTAACGGTGCCGATGTGCCGTCAACAAACGACACCGCTGACGAAGAAGTCCCCGCTCCCCCGCCCCACCGATCGCAGCCTTCCAGCCCTGTGCAATCAGATGCCGAGCAGGCCGAGACGTTCAAGAATGAGGGCAATAAGTTTTTCAAGGCGGGCGACTACACCCATGCCGTCGAGTTCTACACCAAGGGTGAGTCCAGGCTGAACCAAGTCCCACGTCGTACAGGCGGCGAGTGTGTGTTACGGTCGGCTAACGGGAATGAATTATAGCTGTCGTCCTCCAGCCCAGCTCGGCCACTTACCTGGGAAACCGGGCTGCAGCGTTCATGTCTGCCGGCAAATACAGTGATGCCCTAGAGGACTGCAAGCGGGCTGTTGACTTGGATCCCCGCAATCCTAAAATTCTCCTCCGCCTGGCCCGTATTCACACGAGCCTAGGCCAGCCCGAGGATGCCATTGCCACATTCGGTCGCATCCAGCCGCCGCCGTCCGCGAAGGACATGGCTCCCGCCAAGGACATGCTTCGTCATCTCCGGGCAGCACAGCAGGCTCTCCGGGATGGCACGGCCGCATCCATGGTTTTGTATCCCCTTGACATGGCGGAGAAGCTGCTCGGTGTCGGCGCGCTGAAGCCCAGAAAGTGGCAGCTCATGCGCGGCGAGGCCCTCTTGAAGATGGGTGACGCCAACTCTCTTGGTGAGGCCCAAAACATCGCCATGTCCCTCCTGCGCATGAACAGCCAGGATCCCGAGGCCCTGGTGCTGCGTGGCCGGGCCCTGTATTCGCAGGGCGAGAACGACAAAGCCGTCCAACACTTCCGGAAGGCACTCAGCTGTGATCCCGATTTCAGAGATGCCATCAAGTGGCTCCGGACCGTCCAGAAGTTGGAGAGGATGAAGGAGGATGGTAATACCCAATACAAAGCTGGTCGGTGGCAAGCAGCCCTCGATCTCTACACTTCTGCCCTTGACGTCGACCCGGCGAACAAGGGAACCAACTCCAAGATTCTGCAGAACCGCGCCCTGTGCCGCATCAAGCTCAAGCAGTACGATGATGCCATCACCGACTGTGAGAAGGCGGTCAGCCTCGATCCCCAGTACATGAAGGCCCGCAAGACCAAGGCCAACGCTCTGGGTCTGGCGGAGAAGTGGGAGGCCGCCGTCCGGGAGTGGAAGTCGATTCAGGAGCTTGACCCCGAGGATCGGACGATCGCCAAGGAAGTGCGGAAGGCGGAACTTGAACTTAAGAAGTCGTTGAGGAAGGATTATTACAAGATCCTCGGTATCGAGAAGACGGCGACCGACAACGAGATCAAGAAGGCCTACCGGAGACTGGCCATTGTCCACCACCCCGACAAGAACCCTGGCGACGCCGACGCCGAAGCCCGCTTCAAGGATATCAGCGAGGCATACGAAACACTGATTGATCCTCAGTAAGTATCAGTATAATTTTATCTTGGCCTTGATATTCCAAAACTAACATGACTGCAGGAAGCGTGAGCGTTACGACAGCGGCGTAGACCTGGCCGACCCGTCAGACATGTTCGGCGGCGGCGGCATGGGCGGCATGGGCGGTGGCATCGACCCCGAGATCCTGTTCTCTATGATGGGAGGCATGGGCGGCGGTATGGGCGGTGGCATGGGAGGAGGCATGGGTGGCGGCGGCCCCTTCGGCGGCGGTGGTGGCGGCGGCTTCCCTGGTGGCCCTGGCTTCTCGTTCAACGACCGGGGCCGCGGCAGAGGAGGCTTCCCGCAAGGCTTCCAATTCTCGTGACAACCCGACGGCGAGGGAGAATCGACTGATGGCGGGAGCGAAGATGCTACCTCTGACGAGGATGACCGCGGCAGCCGACAGCAGCGACGGAGCCAAGGCCAGGACGGATGGGCCCGCAGAAACGGGACCGGTGTCAAGGAGGCCTGGCGAGCCGAAGCCGAAGAGCAGAAGGATAGACGGCTGGAACAGCTACGTCGGTTCTGGCTGGTGCTGGTCGTGGCTGCCGTGCTTCTCCCTCCGTATGTTCTGGGTGTGCTGGTGGCGGGGAGCGCCGTTGTATACATTTGCATGGGGGTGGTGACGAGGTCGATCGGGGCGCGTTAGGGACGGCAGCACCGGTTGGGTTGTCATCGCAAAAAGATGGATTGTCTTTTTCGGCATACTAGACTACTGGCCAGTTCACCACAACATTGAAGGAGGCGTTCACGGGGTCATCTTATTCACGACATTGGTTGCCCCTTGTCTGGCATGAGCACATCATTGGCATTTTCTACAGATAGACAGGGAGCGAACTGTTTTTCCTTTCCTCACCATATCCCTCCGGTTTCCTGGTTCCCGGTTCCTGGTTTCCTTGCTTCGACGTGCCTACGGTCTCCAGTCCCATGGGTCACTGTATGTGTATAGACTAGTCAGAAAAGCCCCTGTGGAGGTCGTTGGGAGAATTAAGCGTTCTGGGTCTCAACAACCCGCTGTGTTTCCTTTTTAAACCAGGATCAATTCCCGCTTGTGCAATACAATACCTATGTAATTGAATCGAGGAAGTTGTTCGTATACAGTAATTGAGCAGGTACCCTGACTACCTCCCTCTACCCAGCTAACCAGAATGGTGCACATCCACCGCCACGGGCCGCTGTGCGCCGTGCATCGTGCGCTGTCAAGCAGCCTGCCACAGGGGATCGTGTGGGGCTTCTTTTGGGTTCTGTCGCGTTGCCGCCAACTGACAAGGATGTGGAGCAGCGGGAAGCTTTGACCCCTGCTTTTTCGATCTGGAGGCCACGATTCACTTCCAGCTGCACTCCGCAAAAAAAGGCGACGGGCGCAGACTGGACAACTGGACACCTGTGGAAAGTGGAAAGTGGAAAGCCGCCACATTGCATTATCCCAATTCCTCGACTTCGAGTTGTGGACTTCGCTCTTTGTCCTGCTCGTCAACCACCAGTCTCTGAGTTGCATTCCATTCTAATTGTGCGGATGCTCCAACCTCAGGCTTGCTCCTTCTCCCCATCCTGACTGTTATCCATTCCCCATTTCCCTTATTATTGGAACCGCCCTTGGATTCGTTGCATTTTAAGGAACACGCACACGCACACGCCAGGGTACCACCACCCGGGTCCAGCGACTGCCCGCCATGAGTACCGACTACGCGTACGACGAGGAGGGCTATCTCTGGCCCTTCTTCGTTTTCACCCTCGCCCTCATCATCACCGTCCCCCTCACATACTTCCTAGTGAAGCGGTCGCGAGACCCAGCAGCGTCTTTCTCGCGCATCCAGACGAGCTTTAAACATGACCACTCAGCCACGGTCGACGCCTTGCGCAAGAAGGAGAAGCGCAAGGACAGGAAACTCTGGTTGACCTTTGCCGTCGTCACGGGCTGGGCTGTCATGGGCTACATGCTCTACCTCATCCAGACGACCGAGGCGCCGGTACACAAGCTCTGGAACCCGTACGATATCCTCAACATCCCCGAGTCGGCCACCGAGAAGCAGATCAAGAGCACATACAAGAGGCTATCGCTTCGGCTGCACCCCGACAAGGCGAAGCCGGACCCGGCCAAGAACGAGACGATCGAAGACCTCACCGCCCGCTACGTCGAGATCTCCAAGGCGTACCAGGCGCTGACGGACGAGGACATCCGCAACAACTACATCCAGTACGGCAATCCCGACGGGAAGCAAGGCTACAGCATCAACATTGCGCTGCCGAAGGTCATCGTGTCGGACGGCAATGGCAAGTACGTCGTGCTCCTCTACTCGGCGCTCTTCGGCGTCCTCCTGCCCTACCTCGTCGGCTCCTGGTGGTACGGCACCCTCAGGCGCTCCAAGGAGGGCGTCCTCATGGAGAGTGCCAACAGGATCTTCCGCGAATACAAGGACGGCATCGACGAGGGCGGCGCCGTGACCGCGCTCAGCACTGGTAAGGAGTACGAGGAACTCTTGAAGGGAGACAAGGCGGACTCGGGTCTTTCCAAGGTGGAGTCCAGGGTTCTTGCCGAGGGTGAGCTCTCCCCTCTGGCTGGCGGCCTGTCTGTTAAGGACAAGGAGAAGCTCGAGGATCTGGGAGAGCGGCCCGCAAAGGAAGGCATTGGCGCTGCTGTGGGCTTACCTGGGCCGGATCGAGCTGGATGACGCTGAGCTGAACAAGGCCAAGTTTGCCGTTGCCCCGATCGCGCACTCCCTCAACAAGGCCCTCAACGCTATCGCCCTTGCCTACATGAACACCGGTCCGCTCCTCGCCTCTTACTACACCAGCCAGCTCCTGATCCAAGCCCTCCCTCCCAAGTCGTCGCCCCTCCTCCAGCTGCCCTACTTCACCCCCGGCCGTCGTCAAAGCCGCCGAGGGCGACTCGCGTGTCCACACCAGCGTCCAAAATTTCATGGACAGGCCAGACGCGAAGCGTCGCAGCTTGGTGGTAGGCAAGAACCTCCTTACCGAAGAGCAATACCGGGAAGCCGTCAGCGTCGCCAAGCAGCTCCCCTACCTACGTGTCGCCAAGGCCTACTTCAAGGTCACCGGCGAGCGCTTCATCATCCCGTCCTCCCTCGTCACCCTTGTCGTCAAGGGCCGTTTCGTGCCCCCTGGCAGCGAGAAGGTCCCCGAAATCAACCCCGCCGAGTTGGAAGATGTCGACCCGGCGGAAGACGACCTGGATGCCATCTCGGGCCGCAAGACCCAGAAGCTCGTCGGCAAGGACGAGAAGACAGGCAAGCCCATCTACGAGTCGGCCGAGGCCGAGCTGATCGCCGCGCCCCTCGCCGCCGCCCCTTACTTTGCGCGCGACCACAGCCCCAGGTGGCACGTGTTCCTGACCGACTCCAAGCAAGGCCGCGTCGCGGTCCCGCCCTTCACTTTTGCGCAGTTCGACTGCCCCATTTTCGAGGCCGACGGAAAGACCCCCACGTTCGCCATGCAGACGCTCAAGGCCCAGTTCCAGGCGCCGCCCCAGGCCCGGCCACTACACCTTTGTCATGCACGTTGTGTGTGACAGCTATGTCGGGTTCGACACCAAGATGGAGGTGACGCTCATCGTGGAGGAGGCGAGCAAGGCGGCCGAGATGGAAGTCGAGGACGAGATTAGTGAACCGGAAGAGGGTGAGTCTTTTTTTATTGTTTTTGTCTCCACTTTCTCGAAAATGAACATGGCACTGACCACATACAGATTCTATCGCGGGCATTATGCACGCCGCTAAGGGCGGCGAGCCGAAGAGGAGGAAACAGCCCAAGAAGGTGGAGGAGTCAGACTCGGACGAGGAGAGCGGGACTGAGGAGGAGGAAGATGATACCAGCGCCACAAATACGGATACCGAGCCGGAGGATTAGATTGGGTTTGCTTAAGGGTTATTGTTTGGTTAATTCCGGCTTTTGATAATTGTACATACCGGCGTTTCCCCGTTGCTATGGGCTGTTGATGTATGTGGCTGTGTGCTGTGCTGTGGGTGTTGGTTTCAAAGCGCCTCTCTACACTTCTCTCTTCTCCTGTTTTCTGGCTTGGCTGTATATGTGTGTGGTGTGTGCATGGCGTGGGTTGGCTTCTGCTGCTAGAGAAATATGAGGGAATAAACGACGTAGGTCGTGGAGTATGCGTCATCGTGCGTTGGGGGCGGTTGGGTAGGATGATGTCTGCCTGCTCAGCTCACCGCTCCCGGGGGGTGGGGAACAATACGAACAGGCAACTCGAGAGACGCTCGTTCTTTTTCGTCATATCTCACTCAGCCAAAGGTCCTGCATACAGGCACCCGTGGAGCGAAGTGTGGGTGTGTCTATCATCTGAGGGCGAGTGGGTCACATTAAACCCCCGTCCCAACAACCACCTGAGTTGAATGGCTACCTGGAGTTGAGCGGTAGCCTCCAGGTAGCTCTCCCAACGAACACTGGGGAGACGGGGACGCGTACTTCACAACGAAATAATTATGGAGGTCCCGTCCTGGGAAGAAGGGTTGCAGGACGCGTCATGGCCAGGTGTAGTGGGTACAGCAAAGAATTTAACCACGAGTATCACTGTCGGCCCGCGGAAAGGTAATGCCGGGGATTGGCTTCCATGCTTCATATTATTGCTTCTCCGGTGGCCTTTCTACAGACGTACACCAGGCGAGAGAATTATAGGTTCCATACCCCACAGTAGGTTTCATCCAAACGTAGTCACATGGGTATTCGCCTCACCCACACTGTTTACACCGCTGTCACGTATCCATTTCAAGACGCCTACCATAACAGTGACGGAACTGAGGGTAGTGGGACTGGGGATGCTTCTTCGCCTTGTCTGACCCGAGTTAGCAGACCCGGACCAAAAGCATGGCGAGGTTTCGTACCATCCCAGAGTGCCTGCCTCCGGCGACGGCGACTCGCTGGCGGGCCTTTTGACCTCCACGCCAACAGTTTGATGTGTTCGAGCCGAGAGTTCCTTTCGGCCCTCAAGCATGCCCGAGTGATTATGCTCATTATCCCATTATCCCATTATTGGCGCTGCACTCAGAAATCCTTCTCGAAGGCGTCGTTGAGATAGCCGACGAAACTCTCGCGTAGCCGCTCCGCCGCCAATGTCCCAACTGCTTCAAGCCCAATGCCGCCCCGGTTCAGCGCCACGAACGCCCGCCGAAACCTTTGTAGTTGTGGCAACACCACTTTCTTCGCGGGTAGCTCTACCACCAGGTCGTCCCCTAGCTTTGCTTCCGCTCGGGTTGCTTACCCCTTGGCACACGGACGAACCCAGCGGGCCCTCATCCGCTTGCCTCTCCAGAATCTTCTCCCCTCACTGGCCTGCGTCTCGCGCTCCAGAATGTACAGGTAATCGCCGCCTGGGTCCTTGTCGCGCTGCACGGTTGACTGGTTCGGCCTGACCAGCTTCCTGCCCTCGCCGGCGATGGTGTCCCAAATCTTGTCGAATACCTCCTTGGTCTGCGCCTCGTCGTCCTCCCATACCAGCGTAAACAGCGGCGAGTCCCAACGCGCCATAGGATTGGGCTCTTCGTAGCGAAAAACAAGATTCTCCCAACTGGCGGGCTTGTACCGTTCCGTGTCGTCAGCATCATTGTCGTCGTCGTTCTCACCCTCCGCCTTCTTTCCCCCGCTTTCTTCTACCTCCTTTCCACCTACCCCATTCCCCATCCACCCCCACCCCCCTCCCCTTCCGCCTCTCCAACCTTCCCTCATTCACCCCCCTCGCCCTCTCCCTGCCCCCGCCCACCTGCAGCACACAGCTGGAAGTGCTCAGAATTCTTGGCCTCGCAGTACAGCTGGTAGCGCCAGCCCTTGATGTAGTTGAGGCCGTCGAGCACGACGATGTCGCGCGGCGAGAGCACGCGCTTGACCGCGCCGAAGGCGGCCGCGCGCGCGTCCTTTTCCGACGCGTTGGGCCGACCGTACGTGCGCCGGTAGTTGCGCGGGCGAGAGGTCGTAGACGGTGCGCGGGATGGAGAGGGTGTCGTCCGAGATGAGGTGCAGGTTGTAGGGGGGTTTGGGTTTTGGTTGGGTTTGGGTCTGGGTTTGGGTTTGGGTTTGGGTTTGGTTGGGGGATGGGAGGGCGGCGATGCGTGCCGCGAGGTAGGCGTGTAATTGGCGGGCGCGGGTGCTTTTGCCTGAGGTGGGGAGGCCGGTTATTGTTATGAGCTGTGTTGGGGGGAGGGGTCTTGTTAGTGGGTTGTTTAAGTGGGTTGGGGGTATGGAAGGCGTACTGGCATGACTATGGCTGTGTTGGTCCCGAGGAGGGATCACGCTGTTATTGGAGATTTTCGTGATGGTGGCTTTGGTGTTTTGGTGTCTGGGGCGGGGCAGAGCGACGATGGAGGGGCATTTCGGGAAGACCCACTCTGCTGGGACACACCTATCAAACCCCAAAGAGTCAGGGTTACAAAGGGTTTCTTCAGTCTGCATCAGAAGAAACACCTCTTGTTACGAATACATTCCGATCCCCTCCCTTAATGTGCTCTCAGCTCAAACCAAGCGATACTTCAAACTTACATAGCTTGTAGGAACTATGTACTAAATGGAACGGACAGACTGGAAACACTTCTCACGGGCCTTCACTTTAGCTAGCTAATGGTGAGCTACACAGCTTGTCTCACAAAACAAGATGTCGACCGTCCGACCATCAAGGTCACACAGGAAAGCAGCGGGGAAGATAGGGGCAAACGCAAGGCACGAATATCATGAAGCTGTACTTCCATCCAATCACCGCCAGACCCCGCCCAGCCTTACGCCGTTGCCGCTCCCCCATGTGGGAAGCTTGGTTGTGGCTATGGCCCATGCATGCGGCTAATAAGGCGATACGCCCTCCGTCCGTACAAACATACAAGCGGGACAAGTAAGGCTGATGGGGCGAGTGCAGACATACTCACACGGAAAGTCTCCGAGTGGTTGTGTGGGGGTATTGTGAAGAGACCCAAATGTCTTCATCTTGAGTGTCAGACTCGGGAGCCGCGGACATCACATCCCTCACATTCTTCCCGCGTCAGGCTATAAAAAGTAGCCGCCAGGTTCTTGGTGATCGATCCGAAATTTGACGACATGGCGTTGATACACTGGGTTTCACCGGATTTCATTTACCCCCGACCCGAAGCTGTGGGTGAACAAGGGTGAGATCCGGGGCCGGGCCACCCATGCATCTTTCCGATATCAGCTTCGGGCCGGGATGCCAAGGGGCTGTTACGAACCTTTTGTTGTTCCATATATCGGTAGGCTGTCGATGCTTCTCATCCTTGGTTCATAATGGATCCCGGTCACTAATAGAGAGTGTCGGTGTTGGGATTGGGGTTACACGATGACATATCCTGATTTTTCCAGCCACAGTTAGCGCGCCTGGGAGTAAACGGGAGACATCCACACATGCCGATGGCTCTGCAAGGCCAGGGCGAAGTCCAATGCACATGGGTTGATTGGGCGTTCTTGCTCCGAATGTTCGGTGCAGCAATTTCCCCAGCCTGGAATGTGGTCCGTGCTGCATCGCCCACCCACTAGCGTAGGGCTGTGTGTTTGCCTTTGTGGATCGGGTTGTAACTTCGAATCTGTGGCTGGAACGGAACTTTCGTTCACTCTTTTTTTTCTTCGACCCGCGGAACCCCAGACCTTCCGAGCCCCCAAACCACCAAACTGGACCCACATCCCCCCCCAAGCTTCAACGGCTCCAAATCTTAGCTGTCTGGCTGGTCGGGTTTACACCGCAACGGCCCCGCCAAGTCAGAGCGTTGTATCCTCCCGTTGCTGACCTGGAGGTCTGGAGAACCGGCTCGTTTCCGTCGTTCCGCATCGGGTCCCCCGAGCTGTGGAGAGACAGATCATGACCCCACGGCCCGGTATCGATAAGGATCGACTCTCCATCTGCCCAGGGGACGAGACAAACAACCCGCCTGTTGCCCGTTGCCCGTTGCCCATTGCCCGTCTGAGCCGCCGAACCCATGGCGCGACTTCGTGTTCTCATCAAACCTTCCCGCCTTTGCATCTGCATGCGGGATGGGGAAGCCACGCGCGAAAAGATTTCTGGAACAAGCCACGATGCGTCAATTGCACGCTGCAGGGCATGTTTGGTGAACGCGACGTGCTGACGAATCAGAAACCCAGGCACCATTTAAGCTTTTGGAGTCTGTGGTGCTGGGAGCCTCGCCAAGATACGCCAATCTCCCCACTCATTGAAAACGCCTTCGCACAGGTATCCCAAAGAGGAAATACCCCTGCTCTTCCATCCCATTGCGAGTGGATGATGATAGTCCGGTACTTTCGAACCACCACGCTTGCAAGCTTGCACCGACCAGCTCGCCCGATCTGCCCCTGGTTTTCTTCACCATGACCGCCGCAACTGAGAGCCAGCACCAAAGAGCCTCAGGTATCGGCATAACTGAAGGCTGTGGGCAAGAACAGGGGCTGTGTGCCGTCTCCTCACCCTTGGTCCGTTGCAGGGAACTGCTTGGCGTTCGCCAGACATCCGCCACATCTGCACCTCGCCAGGGCCAGTTGAGCCCTACGAATCGAGCATTTGACTCAGGAGACCCTTTCGGAGCCTGCAGGCACGGGTCGACGTTCACCCACCGCGTCGGGGATATCTGCTGCGGCCTCCGCCAATTCTGCGACCACACCAGTTCCAGCTTAAAGGAGCTGATAACCGGCCGGGCTCTCAACGAGGCATCTTCGCAGCAACTCTTGACCGACGACGGGCGACCTTCGACATAGCGGATTCTGCCCCTTTGGTCCACACGTGCCACTCGGGCCGACCCCCCCTTTTCCGCCGCCCCCCGATTCTGGACCAAACGCCGCCGAGGCCTGGACCTCAGCCTAGTTCGCGGCGATCAGCTGGCGGCGTTTTTGCCATTGCGGGACGAGCCGTGAAACTCCTCCGGCGAATGTTTCGGAAGAGGCGGACTGCGCCGTTGGACGCGTCGTCTCACTGGGCTTGACCCAAAGTTTGGCGTCGAGTGTCATTATCCCAAGATGGTTTACTGTGGGAAGCCGAGCAAGGGGTGCTCCAACTGCCGGGAGCGCAAGATTCGTGTAAGTCTTCTTTCTGTTTTGGAAAGCTGCTCCGCCACAACTTGTCCCCGCAAATTGGCGGGATGAACCTCTTCATTGGTAATGCCCGTGTCGAATTGCCCACTAACAAGACCCAAGTGTGACCAAAAGGAGCCGGGATGTGGCCAGTGCGACAAGCGGCAGCAGAAATGTCCTGGCTACCGGAATCTCGTCGACCTCATGTTTCGCGATGAGAGTTCCCATGTCATCAAGAAGGCCAAGGCGAGGGCCCGAAAGAAGGCCAAGCTGGGAATCTCGCCACCGGGCACACCGTCAGACACGGAAAGCCGGTTTTCTGCTACGCCTGAGCCTCGCTCGCGGACGCTGTCCTTGATCGTCCCCCAAACACCAGCTGCGGGTATCCCGGCCAGCCGAAACCACGACGATAGCAGCATGCTGATGTCGCCCGAGTCGGGAAGTTGGCCAGTGACACCACCAATGGCGCAGCTGTACACCCTTCCGCCGGCTTGTCAGGAAGACGGCTTTGCCTATTTCTTCTCGCGATATGTTACAGCCGACGAGACGGTATCACACCAGAAGTTTGACTTTCTTCGAGACGTCTGGCGGCCTTCGCCTTCGTCGCCCGACACCCATATTGACGGTGTTTTGGCCAGCATGACAGCGGTCGGGCTCATGGGGCTAGCGAGCACGGCACAGTCACCAAGCTTGATGGATGCCGCGAGAAAGTCATACGGGACGGCGCTGCGGTTGACAAACCATGCGCTGCAGGACCCGGCCGAGGCCGTCAAAGACAGCACGATGCTGTCGGTTCTCATCCTCGGCGTATTCGAGATGATGACGGAAAGCACGCCCCGAACAATGACGGTCGAGGCATTTCAGGAGCACGTCAACGGCGCGGCGGCACTTGCGCGGATGCGAGGGCCCGCACAGTTCCAAACGCGCGCGGGGAGGCGCATGTTCTCAATGCTGTGCCAGAGGGTTGTCGTCAGTTGCGTCCAGCGAAACGTACCCATGCCAGACTGCTTGATTGAGCTCTGGCACGAAATGTCGAAAACGACCGAACCCGGCAACCCCGATCAACGGTTGATGCCACTGATGTGGCAGGTGCTGCAGCTGCGCTCCGATATCAAGAGCGGATTCCTGTCCGACCCAGAGATCATCGTGGACAGGCTGATTTCCATCGATCAAGACATCGAGAACCAGACCTCCCAATTTACACCTTCCTGGAAATACCGCATTTTCCAAGTAAAACAGCACCATCCGGCCGTCTTTGACGGCATCTGCTACCTCCACAGCTCCCTCCATCACGCCCAATGTCTGGAACCACATCATCACAACGCGCATTCTCATCCTCGAAACAATCCTCTCCGAAATCTCCCGTGACCTCTCTAGTTTTTCCCCAACCCTCGACTCCTCCCGGTACCTCGAGGAGCACCGCAAAGCCCGCAGAAAGCTGAGATACCTAGTCAGCGAAGTCACCGCCCAACATCCCCCCAACAACTCGGGCTCATGAACCCGGCCGACGGCACCATCGGCAGCGGCGATGACGACGACGACGCCGCACCCATCGCGACCGTCGAGATCCGCGAGACGCCCTCGCCGCCGACCTCCCCCTCCGCCCGATCCTCGGACTCAGCGAGCAGCGTCTACAGCCCGCTGTCAGCAACGGGCGGGCCTCGCCCCTACCCCTCGGGCCTGACCGTCCTGGACGTCACCGAGGGCCGCGACGCCGAGGACAAGGCCGAGCGCTACATGCTCCTAATCTCGGCCACCAGCAGCGTCGTGTGGCCGCTGTTCGTCGTCGGCATGTCGACCGCCTGCACCCCCGAGATGCGCGCCTACGTCGTCGGCCGCCTGCGCACCCTGTACATGGAGACGGGCATCCGGCAGGCGGATGCCGTCGCGAACCTGCTCGAGGAGCATGAGTTGGCGGTTGGGACTGAGGTTGGGGCTGGGGTAGGCATAATAGGGCCCGGGATGGGGCCGGGGCCGGTGCCGGGAGCAGGGTGGTTGGATATGGAGCTGAGGGAGCCCGGGCAGCAAGGGGTGGCGGGGCCTGGGTTGGTGGGGGAGGAGTATGGGTTGGGGCTGATGCCCTTGACGAGTCCTGGGGTCATGAAACCCGAGTTCGATATGGTTTGGGGGTGATGATGGAAGAGTAGCATGGGATGGGGGGGGAGGGTACTTAACCCGAAATGACTATGCGCGCTCGAAATGCTGGAAACGGAAATCGAAGGCACCAGCGACATACCATGCAGGATTTTACATACTTCATTTAGCGTGTACCATTTTTGGCTATCTCTTGTATATACCAGCTGCTTTATGGCAGCCATGATATATCTGACCGAACAACTCCGAAGCCCACTTTTTGTCCACCCGAACGCCGTGCCATGCCTAAAGAACTGACGATATCATATCTCTCACAAATTAATTTACCCCAGTTTCCCCCTCCCCCATCACCAAGCATCAAAATTCCCGAACCCTCCCGTCTTCACCTTCTTCCTCACCGGCTCCTCCCACGTCTCCACCACCTGCCCACCATTACTACCACCACCACTCGCCCCCCCTTCCCCATCCTCCTCCTGTTGTTGCTGCTGCTGCGCAACAACCCCCTTCAAGTACCGCCCCACCCCCTTGGCCTTCGCATCCTCCTCCACCACCCCATCCTCCCGAATCCTCTTGCCCGTCCACGTCGTGCGATCGTCCTCGGTGCCCCCTTGCCGCCTCACCTCCTCTTTGCTCTTGACCTCGGCCTCGCGCAGGCTCTTTTCTTTCAAAAACTCCTCGAACGGATCGATCAGCACAACGACGTCCTCGATGCGCAGGTCTGCCAGCGGGCGGTTGGAGCCGTCGTCGGCGACGGGGGCGCGCTCCAGGGCGTCGAGGGTCTTGGCGGTGTCGGCCCCGTCGACGATGCGGCCGAAGACGGTGTGTTTGCGGTCGAGGTGTTTGGCCGGGCGGTAGGTGATGAAGAATTGGGAGGAGTTGGTGTTGCGGCCCTTGTTGGCCATGCTGAGCACCCCGCGCGCGTCGTGGATGTAAGGGCCTTCGAGCTCGTCCGCGAAGGTCTTGCCCCAGATGCTTTGCCCGCCGCGGCCGGTGCCGGTCGGGTCGCCGCCTTGGATCATGAAGTTGCGGATGTTGCGGTGGAAGGAGACGCCGCGGTAGTAGCCGCGCTGGGCGAGCCGCAGGAAGTTCCATACGGCTTTGGGGGCTGTGTCGGTGTGTAGTTCGAGGGTGAGGGGCCCGAGGTTGGTGTCGAGTCGGGCGTAGCCTTTGTGCTTGATTCGTCGGGGGTGCAGCATCCATTCCTCGTCGGAGAGGACGGCGCGCTCACCGGATGTGGAGGGTGTTAGGCCAGTGGAGGTGAAGGAGGCGGCAGCGAGGCCAGTGGTGTAGGCTGCGGCGTTGGGGGCCAGTTTTTTTTCGAGAATGGATGGGGCGCGGGAAGTCGGGGCGGAAGATTTGGTGGTGCTCAGCGTTTTGGTGCGGTTGACGTCGCCGCCGCTTGCGCGGGCCTGGCGGGCGCGCTCGACAGCTTCCTTGGCGCGGAGTACTTTGTCGCCCATCCGGCCGAGCGCGTCGATGTTGATGCCGCCCTGTTCGCGCTGCTCGGCCTGCTCTTTTGTGAGGAGAGCGTCTTGCCCCTCCTGGAGGTACTTGAACTGGCTGAGGTCGCGGCTGGCAGCGTTCTGTGGGTCTTGTAGCGTGATGATATCCTTGCGGCTGAACTCGACGTCGTCTACCAGGTCCCGCCACGACTTGGCCTTGATGTTCATGCGCTCGACCGTCTCCCAGGCGAAGACATTAGCGTAGGTGCCGTGCCTGATCGCCACGATGTGCGTGTTGTCGGTAAGCACTTTGAACGTAACCGGATCGATAAAGTCGCCCTTGCCATCTGATGACACGCCATTGCGATCGTCCTTCTCGGTGGTGTCGGCGTTGCGTGAGAAGTTGAGGCGGATCAGGTCCTTGGCGGCGAGCGGCTCGCCAGTGACCGGGTTGGTCTTGTGCTTCTCCAGCCATGCGCCAATGACCTCGACGTCAAATATGGTGCCATCTGAGGTACAGACGGGGTTCTTAAAAGGTTGGAGACTGGCGGCGCAGAAGTTGAAGGGCAGTCGCTTGAAGCTCGCGTGGGTTGCGCCTTCGCCGCGTTGACGAGCATTCGAACCGACGCTGGCGCTGTAGGCATCTGAAGATGACCACTCGGAGTGAGTAATGTATAGCTTGTCGGTGCCTTTCCCCATGATTGCGGTGTCAATCGGGAGGTTGAGAGAGGAAAGATTCGGACTAAAGGTGTGAAGCAAAACAAATGACGGTGCTGGTGGATGCACTGGATGCACTGCAATACCCAATCTTATCGATTACACCCCTGTTGGTGGCACAGATTCCCGTGGTTGCAGCGCGGCTAGCGGGGGCCCCACCCATCCTGTTCTCTGCCAGGCGTGCCAGGTCAGTTTCGAGCAGTCCGGCCAGGCACGCATGGGCTCAAATGTGGATCCTGGTCGTCGCAGTTCCATGTTGGAGATGCAAGCTTGCGCAACAAGCATCCACCAGATCCGAGACCCTCAAACTCCAGTCCATAGACGAGGTTCAGGACTTCTTCCATCTCGACCACAACCCCGGTCGCCAACACCAAAGCTCTCTGTATTGAGGCATAGACCACACGAAAGGGAATCGATGACGAATCCCATGATTGTATCTTGTTAACTCCTGAATCTCAGACACGTCGCTCCCTCCCTGATCGAGCCTGAAGCACCAACACCCACCCGACGGAGGCCGCGGTACTCTACACACAACCGACAATGAGGCGCTGGGCGGGTTCCCTCTTTTTGCTGCTGCTGTCAGTATGGACGGCGGCGGCATTGGAAATCAAGCTAGTAAGCAGCAGCACCCACGCCTCGATTCACCAGCCGAGCTAACACCACGCGCAATAGGACCAAAACGAGAATCAACGATGCGCCGGTTTGTCCCTCCGACTCCGAGCCCCTTATAGCCTCGAGCTTTGCTGACAATGGACAGGCATGTACAGCAGGAAATCGTGGGGCGGCGACGTTGACCCCTATATCCACGTCAAGTTCACGGGCGTCGGCAAGGACGAGGGCGAGGACCCCGTGGTGAGCCTGCTCATCTTCGATTGGATGGACCAGGAGTACCTCGATGTGCTGCCGGGCAATACGGAGCGGGCGGCCATCTGCCAGCAGGAGTTCGTCGATGCCGGGTACTGCAACGAAACCGAAATTGGCCAATTCCTGGTCTCGCCCAACGCCACAGAAAAATCGGTCAACGTCATCTTGACCAAGGCGATGCACCTCAAGGATTCGAAACCCATCAAGTATCCCATCTCCAAGACGGGCTACTTTTGCGTTGTTACCGAGAAGTTCGGCGCAACTAGCTACGAGGCCATCGTCGAGTTCCGCAACGCCTTTGGCGAGCTCCCGGCTACTCAGATTCCGAAACTGCCCTTCTATGGCGGGATCAGCATCGCATATGCGCTGGTGTTGGTGTATGTACAGTTGACGGCGAGATTTGAATAAGGCTGACCATCACAGGTTCTGGGGTTTCTTGTACTTCCAGCATCGTTCCGACATATGTAAGTGATGTTTGACGGCATATTATCACGGCGCTTAGCACGGGCTAACGTTCTCTACAGTGGCTGTGCAAAACTACATCACAGCAATCCTCATCTTCTTGGTTATCGAGATGATCATGACCTGGGGTTTCTACAGTATGTCTTCTTGCTACCTACCTCGCACTCGCAGCCGCTGACCATCCCAGACTATCTAAACCGGAATGGGTCGAACGTCGGCTCGCAAGTCCTTCTTGTCGTCGTCGCCGTCCTCAACGCCGCCCGCAACTCGTTCTCCTTCTTCCTCCTCCTCATCGTCTGCATGGGCTACGGCGTGGTCAAACACACGCTCGGCCGCACCATGATCTACGTCCGATGGCTCGCCATAGGGCACTTCGTCTTCGGCATCGTCTACGCGATAACCAGCTTGGTTGTAAACCCAGACACAGCGGGACCCTTCGTGCTACTCATCGTCCTCCCGCTCGCCGGCACGCTCACGGCCTTCTACGTCTGGACGCTCAACTCGCTCAACTGGACGCTTAAGGACCTGCGCGAGCGCAAGCAGCACGTCAAGGAGACCATGTACCGCAAGCTGTGGTGGTGCATCCTCGTCTCCATCATGGTCATCTTCGCTTTTTTCTTCTTCAACTCCTTTTCCTTCGCTTCGGCGCGCGACCCCGACTACGTCCCGTTCCACTGGAAGACGCGCTGGTTTGTGCTCGACGGTTGGCTCAACATTGTGTACTTCGCCGACGTCGCCTTCATCGCTTATGTCTGGCGCCCGACCGCCAACAACCGCCGCTTCGCCATGAGCGACGAGATCGCGCAGGAGGACGACGGTACCTTTGAGATTGCCAACCTGGACATCGGAAACCCGGATGAGTCGGACGACGACGAGGAGGCGAGGATCGAGGGCACGAAGCAGAGCCAGGGTGGGCAGACCCAAGCGGCCGGGAGCGGGTCACAGACTGCTCAGACACAACGCGCGCAGTCGTCTGCGGCTGGCGCAGCGACGGCGAGGAAACCGTCGCCGCCCATGCCGAGGGAGTCGTTGGATCGGCGAGACCATCTTTGCCGTGGGCGAGGATGGGAAGTTCTCGTCCGACGACGACGACGATGACGACGATGATGAGGAGAGTAGTGAGGAGGAGTCTGGGCGGCTGGTCAGGACGAGGAAGTAGAGGTAGGAGACGGGGGGCGGTTTCTTACGTAGTATTGAAGGGGTTACCTAGATTTCCATCAAAACGGGTTCGTGTGAGATGGAGGGTCGAGCTGTACTATATATATGGCGATGACTGACTGGCGTTTGTTGGGTGGGACTATTGGTATCTACTAGTATTGCATCGTGTTATTTCAGGGGTATTTTGGGTCATATAAACATTGCAACGACCACTGTCCATCGAGTCACTCTCGCCGCCTGTTGTTCACACCTTTGAATTGTACATTTCGTTTATCGTACAACTAACGCTACCCAAACGCTGGGGAGGGTAATCACATATGAACCATCGTCCTACATGCCCGACAAACCAAAACACCACCAAACCATCCTCCACTCGCACCCACGCTCACACGCTAGCATCCATCACCCAACCTAACCAACCACATCCCCACCAAACCCAACCGGCCTCCGCCTTCCCTCATTCTCCGGCAAAATCGCCAACGCCTTATACAACTTGCCCATCCCATTCGGCCCCCTATCCACCAACCTGCCCCACGCCCGCCTCACATCCTCCACCTTCTTCTTTCTTCCCCTCCTCCCCGCCCGGCACACCTTCGCGTGCCAGAACCGAAGATTTAGTTTCCTAAATGATAATGTAGAATAATAGATGCTATGACATTAAGCGAAGTGTACGAGCCCGTGAAACACCGATTTTAGGCTAGTATATAATGCAAAAGAACCCGAGGATGGATCTAATCCTTATAGTACTAATATGAACGTGGGAGAGTAGAGCAAAATCCCTCAATCGAGTTAAACGTAAATACTATTTCACCCATGATATCTCAGAACATTAACACCTAAGTTACGTCTACCCTTAAGATAAGTACCCCAAGGATTTTAGCAGTATTTTTTCCATTCCCCTTGCACTTCAAAATTCGAAGG